TTATTCAAATAATTCATATTTGCTTTCTAAAGCTTTTAAAAAAGGTAACTACTTTTTATCCTCTTATCAATTGTTTTCAAGTTCAGTAGTATTAATACCAAACAAGTGAAAAGTGCTTTTCGCGCCCCAATTGGCTGGTTCGGTTTTGAATAGCAAGTAACACTCACCTCCTAACAACCGGTTAGCTAAAGTAATTAATTTCCGACCATTTTTCGGTATATTGTAAGGAGTAAATTTATTTTTTGCTGACATAGTTTGATGCTACACTGGTTTGCAGATTTAATGAATGTAACCGAAGAAGTTACAATTCATAGACCCAACGTTTCGACACTCCTGTCTAGTGCCTTCATCAGGGGTGATCTAAACGCTGCAACAAGAGGTCCTTTTATATGATCACTAATTAGCGGCCTTTTTTTTCTGACGAGGTGTAAATAGGCGTCAGGAAGCAGACCGCCATCGACAAAGGCGCTGGTGGTAACGCCGATTAGTGGTGATAATTTTAGAATTATCCCACCCAATTGTATGGTTATGCTCCGATAAAGCTGAATTTTCCTTTTTGCAAAGAAAAACCGCTTTTTGGTGCTCTTTTAACAGTGTACCAAACTGGCGTTTGTCTGTCCGATGTATTCGTTGTCACAGTCATTGCAAGGAATAGAATAAATGGCGTCGGTTCGTTGTTCTTTCGTGACAGGATCCTTAGGTTTGGCGAAAATATGCCCCAAAGTCTGAAAAGGTTTTTGAGCAACTTTAACGTTGTGGCTATTCAAAATTCTCTTGATGGGTTCAGTAACACCCTGTATGTAAGGAATAACAGCAAAACCAGTGGCTGGTTCCCTTTCATCAAGAGCGTTACTATTTGTAACTGGTTTTTGGCAGTTACGGAGAAAAGTTTTTGTATAGCCATTTGCCTTTAGGACATTGGAAACATATTTCCTCTCCTCAGCCTTCGAATCGAGTGATGATGGTAGACAGTCAGCCTTCCTAAGTAAAGTTTTGGCTACAGACTTCTTATGGCAAATAGGATGGTGAGAATCGAAAGCGAGGTATTTGTCGGTGTGGGTAGGTTTACGGTAGACACTCGTCTCTAAATTACTCTGAACCCCTCTGGACACATTTAAATCAAGAAAGGGCAAATGTCTATCCTTTTCACGTTCAAGGGTGAATTGGATCGACGGCTCTACTGAATTCAAATGCGACAAGAGGCGCTCCGCTTCATTTCCGGATACCGCAGAAATAACATCATCGACATATCGTTTCCAGAAAAAGGGTTTAACCGGTGAAGTGGCTAAGGCCCTTTGTTCCACGTCTTCCATTACCATGTTAGCAATGACAGCAGAAACAGGCGAACCCATCGCTGTACCAAAAACTTGTTGATAGTATGTAACGTTATATGTTAATTGCGTGGTTTTGAGGCAAAAAGACAGCAGATGAATAATATCCTCCACAGGCAAAGAAGTTCTTTGTCCTAGGGAAGCATCTTCTCTGAGTCTTTCCTCCGCAACCTTAACGGCAAGATCAACTGGGATTTTGGTGAAGAGCGAAACAACGTCGAAAGATACTAATTCTTCACAAGCGTCAAGAGTTTTATCTCTTGTGAAATCCGTAAATTCGCAGGAATTTTTGACAGTGTAATCAGTATTCCCAACAACAGGCGACAAAATTCTCGCAAGCTAACAAGAAATTGCATAAGTCGGAGAATTAACAAAAGAGACAATGGGTCTCAAAGGAATTCCCGGTTTATGAATTTTAGGTAAGCCATAAAAACGTGGACATAAGCCGTCACTACTGTATAACATTTTGTACGTAGAGTCACTAATTCTGCCAGCTTTTTTTCAAATCAAGCAACATTTTGTTTAACTTTCTTTGAGTTTTACTGGTAGGATCAGAGTTTAAGACAGCATACGTACTCTTGTCATTAAGCAGAGACAAAGCTTTGTCGTGATATTGCTGTTTGTCCATAACCACAACACAATTACCCTTGTCAGCAGATAATACAAGCCTGTCCGGATCCTTTTTGAGAGTTATAAGCGCATTGAAAACATCCTTTTGAATGTTTTTGGGAGGAGGTTTAGCACGCCTGAGTATGCTACTTACTTCTGCTCTTACCAAATGCCTACGATCGTCTTCGAGTTGAGAGATACTCTCCTCAACAGTGGCGACAATTTCGGCAGTCGGTATTTTGCGAGGAGCAATAGCAAACTTTAGACCCTTCTCTAAACCACTCCGTTCCAGCGCGGATAACTCCTTGGAGGAAAGGTTCATGACCCATTTATCTTTCAGAGATGAGCCTGAATTAACAGGAGACCTCTTACTGAGCAAGTGACGGAGTTTTCTGTCGTGTTTCTCTCTCTGTTTGGTAAACGTCTGCAGTTCTTTCGAATTGCAAATTTCCTCGACCCAGGAAGTTTCGGAGTTGTTAATCAAAGCTCAAAGCTTGAAAGAGCAAAAAATACAAACGATGCCTTCAGCGATAAGGAATCATAAGGAAAGTCGGTCGTAGAAGTTTAACTTTCTTATAACAAAAAGCATTGATTAATTTTGAATATTCATTGCAAAGAAAATTCATAGGGTATTTACCGCTTTTCGTTCCCGATTTGTTTATCGATTCACTTGTCGTTTCCGATTCACTTGTCGTTTCCGGTTCACTTGTCGTTTCCGATTCATTTGTCGTTTCCGTTTCACTTGTTGCTGCTGTTTTTGTTGTAGGCGGTGATGTTGTTGGTGTGGGAGTAGATACTGAATATTCCGCTTCAAATCCACGATCAACTGTTTGTCCAGGATGGAACTTCACGAACATTTGGTTTCCAGACGAGAACCGAGGCTCCTCCAAAGGCGACCCCTGACAAAATCGTCCCAGGGGTGAATCCGAAGAGCTTGTTGACCCGCCATCATAAAGCTCCACATAAGAACAAGAATCCGAACAAGCTGAACACTCACTTAAGACAAAGTAAGTAAATGTAAAATTTACAATTTTTCCAGGTGGTGCGGTAATGATCCAGGTACAATTTCTGGACGCAGTGTAGTTACTCTTTGGGTAGTTTGTGCTGCTTATTGTGCCATTCCCTGAGACAAGAATTGCTCCCTTTGGACAAACTGTTGAAAGTTAAAAAGGGTCCATGTGAGTGTGGGATCGAGAAACGTCATGTATTTACGACGGAGGGAGGCTAAATATATGGTTGTTTCGAAGGAAATTCACATCGGCCAAAGCGCATTAAGCTGCAAACGAAAGAAAATTTGTGTAATGACTTAGAAAATATTAGACCGTCGTAATTCAAGAGGAGAAGTAAAATGTGTAGATCTGAAATAAATTTCCAAGGCTTTCAAGCAGCGAAGTCTAGCGAATGAGTAGACACGATCACCGTGAGGCGCCCGATTTTTCAAAATTCGACACTATTTCAAACCAAAATGTGTCATTTTCCAAACTGGTTTTCAGACCCACCATTGGCTTCGTTTCATTGTACTTCGCATCACTGCTGCAGACAAATCTTGGTCAAACTTACCTGAATTTCAGCTTGAATAGTATAATTTTCTTTCTTCTTTAACCAGATCGTTTATTAGAAGTTAAAGGGAAAAAAAGCTTTTTGTACGCTCTCGTGGCTCCCTTGGTAAACAATAAAATGGATCTTAGACTATTTCGGCCATTGATCAAAATCCATACCCTTTTGAAAAGAGGTTTACAAAAACATGGCCTACATAAGAGAGTTGCCCCGAACAATAATATCAAGTTTAGAAAAGTGAACAACCAAGAATCGAGGAGAAAAAGTGGGAAGTGGGTAAAGCAACATGGCTTAGATTCCCAGTACACCACCGCTTACATTGGCATATCAGAGATGTTTGCATTCAACAATCATTAAAAGAGCGAGCTTCCTCTCTAATTAACTTCAATAATAAGAAGTGAATGGATGAGGTGGAGCACGATATTAATAATCATTATACATTAGACTTACTACAAAAATTTGATTGGTTGAGAGCAGTTAATCGATATATAATGACGTGTGAAATTGACATAATAGGCTAATATCTGCAGTGGATATTGCATTAATCATGTCGAGTTCAAAGCTTGCCTAATTTTTTAAACTCCTCGTCCGTGTAGTGAACTCAATATTTTGCCAACTCAAACAGAGGTGCCTCCTAAAATATGCAATTATTGAACTCGTTTTTCGCATGATATCAGGAATAATCAAACCTCTTGCCTGTGTTATCTGCTTCAGCCTTCGGCTTCAGTAGATACCTCAGATCTCGGTTTTAATAATTTGTGTCATTATTTGGCAAAATTACATCTTCTTTCAGCGAAATCTTAGATCTATTTTTCTTCTTACTTGGAGGACTGTAGTTCAACAGCTTGTAAGTTGCTCCAAATCCGTCATAATCCATGTTTGTATCATCGGACACAAACACCACCCTCAAGCTTTCGTTCAGTGAATAAAATTTTACAGGAGTAGCACTTGGTGTACCACATAGTTTTCCAGGTAGCGCTTTATCACTGAAGCTATTCTGAACTTCGAAATAATCACACAAGCAAGCAGTGCCATTACAGCGTTGTAGATTATAGTCTGGTATTGTGAGCTCAACACGGTATCCTTGTTTCCCCATAATCTTCCAGCTACATGTCTGGTTGAATGGATAGTTTCTTGGATTAAAGGGAGAGGAAAAGGAACCTGATGTTTCATTGAGGATCATATCTGTTGGGCACACTGGAAAGAGTAAAAGACTGCCAGCTTTAGTAAAATGCATCTTACTTACTATTAATCGCCTCAAAGGTTGCATTGAACCCTTTGTTTACAAGGCTGGCGCGAGATACTTAAATTACACAGATCTTAAAAGTCAAGGATTTCCTCCTGAGAGGCAACGCTCACGTTTACTATAGCTGTTCAAAGATTGCCTACGTTATTATTTGCATGATATATTCAACATAATTCTCGCTCAGTTTAATAGGGGTACGTGCTCAGTACACTTGTATGCTTCCAGTTAATAAACTACCATAGAAGAAAAGCTCTTACATGAATCTCCATCTATCGCCTCAAAGGTTGCATTGAACCCTTTGTTTACAGGGCCGGTGCGAGATTCAAATCTCACTTGAATGAAGTTTCCCTCGGAGTACACAGGAGGGGGAAGCTTTTGACCACAGATCTTAAAGTCACTGGGATTTCCTCCATGAGAGGCAACGTTTGTGATAAAGACTCGGGCACTATCTGCTGCCGCTCCAGCACAGTCATCGTTTTCACCTGCTACCAGGGTAAAGCTCAAGAAGGTCAGTTTGATGATTTTCCCACCAGGTACCGTGATATTCCAGGTAAACATCCTGTTTGCGTCATAGTTGTTGGGAAAATTGGGGCTGGAAATGTGACCACTAATAGCATTAATGGATTCTCCAGGAGGGATACAGGCTGAAACGGAAGGATTTTTTATTCACTTTTTTTATATTTTTTATTACTGTGCACGAAACAGTTCCAATGAAAGGGGGTCTCAACGGGGTGATGGCTTTTACGGCTTACGTGTACGGTTAATATCATTCCATTTTTGGAGGAGAAATTTGTTTTTAACAGTTAACATGGTTTACGACTAACGGTTAAAATCTGTCAATTTTTACGCCAAACGGGTAAATTTTTTTGGCCGTTTTACGGCGATCGGTTTATCCCACTGAGACACTTGTGAAACAGAAATGTTAAATACGTTTTCTTTCAAAAGAAGACGAGTGTAACTCAGAGTGACCTTGGTGAGCGGCGATAGTCTGTCTGTCTCTTAAAAATATAGAAGTATGAAATAAGTTAAAAGTTGGGGCATAGTCGGTGTCTTAACGCGTCAAGACCAATTTCGCGCAAGAAAAATATTTGATGATTGTAAAAGAGGATATTCTGAATAAACTTAACAGGGTACTCACCACCGGTCGTTGTGTATTCATATTTCGCTTCAAATCCACGTTCAACTGTTTGCCCAGGATGGAATATCACAAACATTTGATTTCCAGTCGACAACTGAGGCTCATTCCAAGACGACCCCTGGCAAAATCGCCCCAGCGAGGGCGAACTTGTTGACCCACCATCATAAAGCTCCACATAAGAACAAGAATCCGAACAAGGACTGGCTGAACACTCACTTAAGACAAAGTAAGTAAATGTAAACTTTACAATTTTGTCAACTGGCGCGGTAATGTTCCAAGTACAATTTCTGGACGCAGTGTAGTTACTCTTTGGGTAGTTTGTGCTGCTTATTTTGCCGCTGCCTGAGAGAGGAATTGCTTCCTTGGGACAAACTGTATACAATAAAAAAGGACCACGTAAGCGTGGGAGAATAAGCATAGCCTGTTCCGGGAATTCAGTTGGTAAAAGGAAATGCCATATCGAACTGTGCGACAGTAGCAAAGGAGTGAAAAAACGAGGGAAGTCTGGGTCATGTTATGTGATCAACTTCTTCTTTTCCCGACCAGACCCAAACCTCACTCTCTTTTTCACTACGCCGCTACTATGGTGCCCCTGGCTATTTCGCTCTGTTTGACTACCTAGAATGCTTGGAATAGGCCAGAATAAACATGGATTGGTGATAGATATATGGTTTCTTTCACAGATTCCGTCAAAATCTGCATGGTAAGAACAAAAACGTGGCACACGAAGCGCTACTAAATGTCACTGATGACCACAGTTTGACATCATCTGGTATCTCTTGTTGAACAGACACACGGCAATGTGGAATCTAATTGTTTCATATACGATGAAGAAGCAAATTGTCGTAAATGGTGATTTCATTTACGCCTCTGTTCTCCAATACGTGATAAATAACAACCAATCGAAATGCTTACCATATAACTGTTGATTCGACCAATGGTCAAAATCTATTCAAACCAAAGCGGCTCAAAACCATACCCTTTACAGAGATACATTTCAATATGGCTTTTATAAGGGACTAGCCCCCAGGCAAGAATATGAATATTTGAAACTCGTTACAGTGACCAATTTACATTATCAACTCAGTTGATGAAACCAAATTATCTTGGTATACTCCTCGACAGACGCCGCATCACAGTTTCTTTAGAAACTTACCACCTTTATTCAATTAAGGTTGGCATGGCTTCCCAATACATCACCGCTTACACTATACATCAGAGATGTTCGCATTCACCCTGAGCTGATAACGGAGAGAACCTGCACTCTTATTAACTAAGCTCCTTATCATTACCTGTATGGGTGAATTTATTGCATGTAACATTCTCTCAGCGAACTCGCAGATCTCACCACGTTATATAGAACACGCTGGGAATAATAGCAGGAATGTTCTTTCCGAAGATATTTTCGCGTTTGATACCACATTTGACTTATCAGATGATGTATTAGCCAATACTCCAGTGCCAGAGAATACGTTAACAAGTAATATCAATAACTTTTGTACCAATTCAGTATTTAACAACTGCACTGTCGACTTTTGCCACGAGAAAAAGTAATATTTGCAGGTATGTAAACGTTTGGATTGTATGGTGACAATAGAGAGATGAAATTCTAAATGCAGTTTATTAACGAACACAAACATTCTTTACTTAAAACGAAAGGAAAATACAAATTACTGTGCAGTGTATTTCATAACTAAGGGCGGATCCTCGCGTAGGAAATAAAGTCGTAAAATCTTAAAACTCATCTACTGGCCGTGTAGCGTTGACGACATGTCGATTACAAGAGAAGTGACAACAAATAAAGTACAAAAGGTCAATTATAGGGGTAAAATCATTTTTAATTAGCCGTCGGTTGCGGTTAAAAAAAATTCGACTGGCTTTATCTTTACGTAAATCACACCAATATCGAAGTCAAAAGTTGATAAAACGCACGCGAAAATCCAGCTCCCATTGGATATTTAAATACACCTCATTCTCCATTATTTATTGGTAGTTATAGAAGGAAAAAAGCGTTTATGTGCTTACGTCATTCCTTATTATGGGTTATTATATAAGACCTAGGCCTGCTTACATTAACGTTGCAGAGAAATTTGCATCACCAATTGATAACAGATATAACCTCCACTCCAATGAGCAAAGCTACTTATCGTTACTTGTACCGGCGAATTTATTGCGCAAAAACATCTTTCCTCAGCGAACCCTTAGATCTCACGACGTTGTCTTCTCTACTCACTTGGAGGACTGTACCTGAACAGCTTGCAAGTTACCCTACATACGTCATAATCCATTCTTGCATCATCGGACACAAACACTACCCTCAAACATCAATATTTCGCTCTGCTTGACTAACTAGAACGCTTGGAACAGGCCAGAAAAATCAGGGATTAACTAAGCGCCTTATCATTGCTGGTATGGGTGAGTTTATTACATGAGACATCTCTCAGTGAACTCTTAGATCTTACGAAGTTGTTTTCTCTACTTACTTGGAGGACTGTAGTTCAACAGCTTGTAAAATGCTCCAAATCCGTCATAATCCATGTTTGTATCATCGGACACAAACACCACCCTCAAGCTTTCGTTCAGTGAATAAAATTCTACAGGAATATACCTTGGTGTACCACATAGTTTTCCAGGCGGCACTTTATCACTGAAGCTATTCTGAACTTCCATATAATCACACGAGCAAGCAGCGCCACCACAACGTTCAAGATTATAGTCTGGTATTGTGAGCTCAACACGGTATCCTTGTTTCCCTATAATCTTCCAGCTACATGTCTGGTTGAATGGATAGTTTCTTGGATTAAAGGGAGAGGAAAAGGAACCTGATGTTTCATTGAGGATCATATCTGTTGGGCACACTGGAAAGAGTAAAAGACTGCCAGCTTTAGTAAAATGCATCTTACTTACTATAAAAAACTTAATTTATTCAAAGAAAAAGAGAAAAATCTTAACAAAGCTTCTTTCTCTCCGAATACTGTTCCAGTTTTGATGAGGTTTACAGTCAATGTAACTGACATGAAATATAAAGTGCTTGCGTCCGAGTGAAAGGCTTGAATACATTCAATTTTCTTTCTACAGACTACAGCTGTTCAAAGATTGTCTACCTCATTATTTTCAGGCTATACTCAACAACATTGTCGCTTAGCTCAATAGTGTATATGCTCGGTACACTTCTATACTTCCTTCATAAAGTACCCCTGAAGAAAAAGCTCTTACGTGAATCTCCATCTATTGCCTCAAAGGTTGCATTGAACCCTTTGTTTACAAGGCCGGCGCGAGATTCAAATCTCACTTGAATGAAGTTTCCCTCGGAGTACACAGGAGGAGGAAGCTTTTGACCACAGATCTTAAAGTCACTGGGATTTCCTCCATGAGAGGCAACGTTTGTGATAAAGACTCGGGCACTATTTGCTGCCGCTCCAGCACAGTCATCGTTTTCACCTGCTACCAGGGTAAAGTTCAAGAAGGTCAGTTTGATGATTTTCCCACCAGGTACCGTGATATTCCAGGTACACATCCTGCTTCCGTCATAGTTGTCGGGAAAATTGGGGCTGGAAATATGACCACTAGTAGCATTAATGGACTCTCCAGGAGGGCTGCAGGCTGCAAAAAAGGTATCTTTCAGTTACCCTTTTGGTTTCTTACTCCAAACAAAAGAATTCCAGCAAAATAGAAATTGAAAAGGTGTTTCAAACTAGCACTTTTGTTACCATATCTTTACTAAGAATGAGAATTCCAGTTGACTTAAACAAAGACCAAACCTGTGGATTAAAATGGAGACATGTAAGGCGAATATTTATACTTACGATCACTTGTCACCACAGTCAGGGAGGCAACTGCAACAAATACGAAAAACGAACATGTGAACACGTGTCTCAACGTAAGCAGTAAAACTAGTTCATCCCAAATGCTAAAAAGTTTGAGGTCATCTGAGCAAAAGTGGACAGCATAGAAAACTCCCTAAGCTGCGATAGTGCTATTTATACCACAAAGAGTTCTGAGCTGATTTTCAACTTGTTAATATCTCGTATTTCCTGAGCCGCTTAAACGCCCGCTCAAACTGATCTGAAACAAGCTGATTAAATTTTTATGTGTGAGTGTGAGACATCAATTCTTGCAAGATTTTAAGCTAAGCCGTTCTTCTCTTGTTGAGGGTTGCAAAGGAATTTATACGTGACGGGTGATTAAGACGAAAATAAGTATGTGACGCGAGAATTTAACGGAAAGAAGAGCGAGATTCGTGAATTTATGAACCACCGTGAGGCGTGATTTTGAAATCTTCTCTACAAGAAAAGCGAGGTGAAGTTTTCCTTTTACATGCGTGACGAGTGAATTTTTTTTGTAAAATTCGCTGAGGGTTAGGGATCCTCGGGTGACACTTGTTACCCGACCCTTTTAAAGACAATTTAAGATTGTAATCCTAATTGACTGTTTACGCCCCTAAAGCCAGCAGGAGAGCTACGGAGGATATAATGAACAAAGAAATCCTTTAGACCCGCGTGACATTGTTAAGATCGACAGCTATAAAGGTATTTTCTCGCAGCTTTTAACCAGGCTGCCAAAAAAGCGTCCCGAGCCGTTTCGTGCCTTGAAAGAAAACCGAAAAAAATGGCGCCAATATTGAACCAAGCTGTCAGTATTTAGTTGTCAGGAGTTTCTCACAAAAAATAAACATAAGAGCATAGAAATTCTTCAAATGTTGTACAAGCTCTGAAAACCTTAATGCCACTTCGCAGAATTTTCATTGAAAGTTATGAAAAAAGCTTCTGTTCAACAATTACCAACCAAAGAGAGACTTCACACAATATTCACCAAAGCGAGAAGAAATGATGTGACTTCCTGTTGGCTTCTAACAATGCGTTTTTGTTTGTAAACACCCTTCCCCCCTGCCACTTTCCCCGTCTGAAAGGTCACGACATTATTAACTGCTAGCTGGGGGGAGCTTGCTATAACTAAAAAATGACATGGTAAAATTAAGGGTTTCACAAGGTGTTTATGCAATCTCGAAATCTCCTCAGTTTTTGCCTCAATGACTCCCTCTCAGTGTTTTTTCTTTCAGTCTCAAAGTCTCTCATTTCTTTCAAAGTCTGGGATTTGTTCTTATAAATGAAGATCCCCTTCAAAAGGTAGTGAGAGTAATGCGTCGATCAACTGGAAGCTTCAACATCCCCCTGGACATTTGAACTTTTAAATATTGATTTATTCAAATTCCCCCCCCCCCCCCCCAAATTTATTTCTCTACCCCAAGTAGTAGTAAGTTAGGTTACATAATAAACAAGGTAATAACTACTGGTCAATTCTGATTTTGAACATTTAGATATTAGAGAAGAGAGGAGAAGGGCACGTCCAGATACCCAATATAGTGCCTCCTTAATCTAATATGAAAAGTTATTTACTAAACTTGGCCTAAATAACACAGCTTAGATCAAAGAGGAAGACAGAAGATGAAGGACATGAATAATTAATATTGATTTAGATAGCAATGTGAAAGTGGTTTTTTAAACATTTGTTTTTCTTTAATAGGTTGAGGAATATTGTTCCAGATATACCTATCAATGATTGTTAGACAAAATTTCCTGAGATTTAAGTTTGAATGTATTGGACATGTATGAATGTTTGTCAGCATTAAAATAGTCATATAGATATACATAAGATATAGTAGAGCTCCTAATATGGAACCTTAAAGTACACCAGAGAAGACAGGATGAAAATCAGACTGAACACCATTGACATAAACTTATTGTTACCTACTGCATACGTAAGATCTAAAAAAAGTGCTGGGTTTGATGGTCAATTTTTTTTACACGAGGCAAAATCAGCGACCGTAACCTTCTACTCATTGACCAAGCTTTAAAATCCATCAGTAACTTGTAGACCTCTTCTTCTGAGTCATCCGCCCGCGAACGTGAACTATGTACCTTTAAAATCCTCCATATTAAAATATAAAACCTCGTATTCCGCTAGAAAGACTTGTCACTTTCGGAGTTATCAACGTGAGCGGAAAAAAGTATTTGTACAACCGTTTGAAAATATCTTGGTATAATTGTTGATATCATACAAGAAACAAACGTAAAAGAGCGAATCTTAATTGTAAAACAAAATTCCAATGTCGTAAATAACACCTTGCCAGAATCCGAGTTGAGCGAACGAAATCATGTGGTGAACCGTAGGTGAAATTGTCTCGGTTTCGAATTTTACTGACCCCAGTATTATCAGGAATTTTTCATATTCATGGCTCCTGGTGTACAAATAAACAATTATGACATAAAATTCACCTGTGGCAAGACTTCACACGCGAATCGCTTTCTTCAAAGAATGTGCAGTCAGGTTAAAATGTTGATATATACTCGCTAACGTTGTCGTTATCTTATATCATCAATTGTTTATGTTAACTTCCTCTCGTGTCAGAAATATCTTTTTCATCGAGTTCACGTTTTCTGTCTATTTGAGTGTGAGAATCAATCTCCATTTGCATGTGACAGTATAAAACCATTTGATTTTCCTTGAAATAAAGTAGCCTAAGAATGCAAAGTACCTTTGTTCATGTCTAAACCTATTCAGCGAACGATCAATTACCATGCAGGTTCGAATTCCTCAATGGACATGAATTGGCATTTAACTTGTCTCGCACGATTTTACCAGAATTATCTCCCTTCCTAGAAAACTCTAACATGTTGAATTAAGAACCTCCTTTGAAGGGTATCCACTTAATCGATAAAAAAAAGTGGAACCGCGAACACTGAGCGAACCCGAGCGAAGAAGACAGCAATGAAGAAGAACGATGCACGGAAGAAGATCAAGTTACACGACATTAAATTCGCATTTCGAAAATGCGCATTAAAAGTCGGTAGACAAAGCAAAGTCAAGAACAGAATGATAATTCAAACCTCTGGCCTGTAAGAGTAAGCAGATGTAACTTTTAGATTCCTTTGTTGCACGTATGATCAGTGAAGTGAAAATTGCGCATTAATCATTCGCATGAAAGAACTCTCACTCACCACAAAATGTAATCAAGATCCAGGCTGAAATCATGATGGTATTCAAACTTCTTGTTCTATTTTAACAAAGCTTGATCTTCTTCACGCTGAGGAATCGACGAGGTCGAAATCAACAGAGCAACATAAGTCAGTTCTCTTTCGTATTTAACTGCGGAAATATGGAAGCAAGCACAGAGGCAACAGACCGAATAAAGTTAGCGTGACCTTGACGTCATTGACGAGTCTGTGACAATTTCAGTTCTTCCGCAGTAACTTGATGGTATGTACTAAGAGGTCGACGCAACTTGAGGGATCCTTTCGACATAAGGGGTTTCCTTTGGATATTTCTACTGCGAGAGTTTAAATGAAAGAAGTGAAAGAAAAAAGATGCGAGAAATTAGAGGGGAGGGGAGGAATCTTACTTGCCTACGATGATTATGTTACTATTTTGATAGAAAGGAAATGAAAACCAGGAGATTTATGATTCACGTCAAAATACAAAGGAAATCCGTCATAGTTGACGAAAATCAAAGCGAAACAGTCAAAATAAAAACAAATTTTAATAGCAACGGCATAGTGCCACAGAAATTCCAAAATAACGCCAGTTTTTTCGTATTTAACTGCGGAAATATGGAAGCAAGCACAGAGGCAACAGACGGAATAAAGTTAGCGTGACCTTGACGTCATTGACGAGTCTGTGACAATTTCAGTTCTTCAGCTGTAACTTGATGGTATGTACTAGGAGGTCGACGCAACTTGAGGGATCCTTTCGACATAAGGGGTTTCCTTTGGATATTTCTACTGCGAGAGTTTAAATGAAAGAAGTGAAAGAAAAAAGATGCGAGAAATTAGAGGGGAGGTGAGGAATCTTGCTTGCCTTCTCTCCTCCCCCTCCCCACTAAGTCTCTTAACACGATGATTATGTTACTATTTTGATAGAAAGGAAATGAAAACCAGGAGATTTATGATTTACGTCAAAATACAAAGGAAATCCGTTATAGTTGACGAAAATCAAAGCGAAACAGTCAAAATAAAAACAAATTTTAATAGCAACGGCATAGTGCCACAGAAATTCCAAAATAACGCCAGTTTTTTTGGTGACGAAAGTCCTCACTTGGTCATACCCTAAAATCGCTGTTCTTGACACTTGATAGTTTCGGTTCCGCACAGAAGCAAGACGTATTGATCGAATTCCCACAATAAACCCGTACATAGTTTTACTTGACGCTCACGGATTCAATCAAATTCTACTGGAAACGTTAACAAGATCTTTTGTAAAAGCTGCAACGCAATAATTTTATAAAATGCGGGTATTGCTTTTATTATCAGACGAACTTACACAAGTCGGTTTACGTCACTCCATAACTGCGAGCCTGTGCATACACTCAAAAGAGCATTAAGAGTCACGTGCGTGCGAGAAAACCGCACGCGCGTTGCCTATCTGCTACATATCGCGTGCGATAACAGCGTTCTTCAAAAGTGCTCACCGTAAAAATTAAGCTAAAACTAATTAAATTAACAAACGAGTGAAGATAATTAAATAAGCGGCTTTTGACTCGAAACAATTCGCAGATCCATAATGATCTTGGTGCTAATAACATTCAGAGGGAACGTTTAGTTACAAAAAAAATTATACCTAAAATGCAAATATTAATTATAGACAAAAAAGCGTGCTACAGTTTGTACTTAAGTCTTCTTGTTCGCTCTTCGATTAGATATATCTCACCAAGTCACTCCGTGAATGTTAATCATGAAAGAGGCAACAACTTTAAAGAAACCTTTCGGATCGCTGCAAATGACAATTAGCCCAGTATTCCATTTTTATTTTTATTATTTTTCTTCGTTTTGTTGTGTTGTTGTTTTTTTGTTTGTTTGTTTGTTTGCTTTTTTTTTTTGAAAAAGTTCAAGAGAGGACAATATCTCGTCCCCAAAACACATTAAAGCGCATTGTGTTTTTACTAAAAAAAGCGAATTCTAAACCTTTAATACTGTTGTGGATTTTGAATTTGTTATACTTCCTGATTATTATTGAAAAATTGGAGACTACGTACAGTTTAAATTATCAAAGTCTCTAATCTGTATCCCTTTGTAATTTGTGCTAATGGTTGTGATAGCTGATAGTAAAATTATTTCTATTCTATTCCTAAGCTGTGCTTTCTTCCTTATTTCTTCATAATCCAGCTTGTGACCAATCTCTCAGTTCATGGTCTGAGCCAAACAACTAACGCACGAATAATAAGAACGTGGTCGGGGTGGGGGTCGGGGAGTTAGGCAGCCGTTGTCCTTACAACAAAATCTTCTATTAGTCGTGTGTTCACTGTTTCACTCGTCTCCTTTGACTGAGGGCTTGGAACAGGCTATTCATGAACATAATCCTCTACACTCTTTTGTTTTTTCTTCCATAATTTTCAACTTACAGAATTCAAACTACTTACAATACTTCCTCTACACGCTACAGTACTACTTAAACTACTAACGATTACATACAATATTAACATTACTTAAAAAACTCACATAGTTTACAGTACTTACCCTACTAACAATACTTACTTCACTTACAACTACATACAATACAGACATCACTCAAAAAACTCGCGTTGCAGCTCACAGAAACTTGCTCGACTAACAATGCTTACACTGCCTACAATACTAACAATAATAATTACACGAAATACTGGCACTAGGATCGTCATATTACCAGCTTTTTTTAATTAATTAATTTATTTTTTTAAGAATATTTTACCATAACATTATTTGCCATACGGATAATAACAATATGGTTTTTTTTTAATTGATGCATATTCTACACTCTTAACCGCTTAACCAGCATATCCTCCGTTAGGGAAAGATCCCAACTCGTGGGAGTGCTTCCCGGTATTTGGTGCATGGTATACAGAGTTCTGGCCAGCATTAAGATTGTAGTCGCCTTGATACTTACTACCCGGTTCACCGTCTGTGTTCACGTCATGCGCGCCATTCTGTCGTCTTAAAGCTGTCAGAAACAAAAATATCAATAGGATAAAACGAATAAATCTGTTTATAATGCAATCGGTACTGGTGATGGCCGTAGTGCTCACCAAAGTCATAACGTAAATTACGCCGCTCCCTGCTCAATCTCCCCTTTTCGGTTTTACCGCATTTACTTCAACACGCGCCGCGGCGCTCATTAACTTTGTTCGCACCTTCCTAATTCGAGGGAAACGCGTTTGCGGGGGCGCGCATCTTTGAGTAAGTACGACATACTAGTATTTGCTTCCGGAATTATATCGCAGGCTAGTCACCCTGATAAAAAGGACACATATATATGATAAAAGGTTACAACAACATGGTGTAAAGCTTTTGGCCGCTTGTTTGATGAGTACATCCTAAGGCACTCTCCTGAAGGGCGATAAAAGCGTAGTATGGACACAAGGGTCTCGCAAAGCTTTCATTGCGGACAGACGAGTCAACCAGATAAAAGAGAGTTTTGATGTCGATGAAAAAGCTGAGATTTCCTTTTTAACCTGCCACTTTTTTCCTCTAAACACTTTGATCTCATTGCAAAAAAAAGTAAGGGAGTAGATGGCCCTGTCATTCATGTTCCTGATCAGAAGTCTTAAAGTGAAGGCCTCCTCACCAGCGCTAGACAAATTGAAAAGTAAATATGGCACCGCACCCATGTTCCCTCCAAGAGGGAAGCGATAGGACTTACCACGAATTGCAATGAAGACGACTGCGAGAACAGCTACCGAACCAATTCCAATACCTACATAAGCGCCGGTCGATAAAGATTTCTTGGACGCTGCACCTATCAAAGTGATCAAGTCATTTGATTACTACATGTTAATCATTTGAGAGACAAAACACAAAAGATGACTCTAGCGTGGGTAGCATGAAAAGTTATGAGAAACAATTGCTAGCGTAAAATTTTCTCATGATTGAAACAGGAGTTTTAAATATGATTTACAAGGTACCTACCACCAGTCGTACTTGATTCACCGGTCGTTGCCGTCTCACTTGTCAGTTTTGTTTCTGTTGTAGGTGGTGATGTTGTTGGCTTGAGGGAAGATACTGAATATTCTGCTTCAAATCCACGGGCAACTGTTTGTCCCGGATGGAACATCACAAACATTTGATTTCCAGTCGACAACTGAGTCTCATTCCAAGACGACCCCTGGCAAAATCGCCTCAGCAAGGGCGAACTTGTTGACCCACCATCATAAAGCTCCACATAAGAACAAGAGTCCGAACAAGGTTTAGCTGAACACTCACTTAAGACAAAGTAAGTAAATGTAAAATTTACAATTTTGTCAGCTGGTGCGGTAATGTTCCAAGTACAATTTCTGGACGCAGTGTAGTTACTCTTTGGGTAGTTTGTGCTGCTTATTTTGCCGCTTCCTGAGAGAGGAATTGCTTCCTTGGGACAAACTGTAAACAACGAAAAAGGAGCATGTGAGTGTAGGAGAATAAGCATAGGCTGTTCCGGGCGTTCAGTTGCTAAAACACAGTGCCATATTGAACAGCGAGAGAGTAGCGGAGGAGTGAAAAAACGAGGGAGGGGTGGGTCATGTTGTGTAACCAACTTCTTCTTTTTCCTACCAGACCCAAACCTCACTCTCTTTTTCATTACGCCGCTACTATCGTGCCCTTGGCTATTTCGCTCTGTTTTACTAACTAGAACGCTTGGAACAGGCCCGATTAGTCATGTATTAACTAAGCACCTTATCATTACTTGTAAGGGTGAATTTACATGAAACATTCTCTCAGCGAGCTCTTGGATATCACGAAGTTGTTTTTTCTAATTACTTGAAGGACTGTACTTCAACAGATTGTAAGTTTCCCCAGATGCGTCTTAGTCCATTCTTGCATCATCGGACACAAGCACCACCCCTAAGTTTCGCTGCTTGAGGGTTTTGCTGCTTTACAAACATTGGTCCCAACCTTGCTAGATCTATACCCAGTGTGAATCCTTCTTAGCTTAAATATTTAGCTTGGAAAAATTTCAAAAAACTTAAAACTCGGACTTTCCGGGCCCTCAAGTGCTCGTATTTAGTCTTAAAAGTGTCCCGTGGACCGGTAACGAATTAGCAGGTGATGACGTAGAAAACTGCGAAAACTCTGAGTTGAAACTTGCAAATCTCTCACATCTCTAATAATTTTGTATCAGTCAGCGTTGAAATACTCTGGAAATTATGTCCGATAGCAATGTATACCTATCTTCAGCAGGTTCTACTGAGAGTTGTGATACATCGTACACAAGTAGTAGAGTACGGTTCAGCCCTACGAAGGAGAACCGCGTGCATCAAACGAAGATTTCGACGAAAACTGACAAAAACGGTTTCTCGCCTGAGGTGCTTAGGTGAAGATTAAAACAAAAAATTCCCCTTACTGAATGTTTAAAATACTGCGTTTGTGTTTTGTTTTCTATGGCAAAATCTATGTTAAGAATGGGTAGCTGTGTTCGTTTCTGTTGCCATAACATTTTATTCCCTCGCACTATGTACGGCGAAGGTTCCCCTTGGCCACTGCTCTAGAATTTCGTTGCGGTAGAGCAATACCCTTGGTAAACCAAAAGCTAACTTTTGACGAAAGAATCAGCTGTATCACGAGGCACGATGATTTTTCACCGAGAAGTCACCGGAATGTTTCACCGTAAGTTGCTCCTTTCCCCGGAGATTGCAAAGGCAGAGGTTATCATCGCGATCGTCGAGCCGGTCAAACCGAACGGAAAACGAATGAGTTTATTACCATTTGATTCAAGTTAATCTCAAATAGGGATTTTAATAAAGAAAAACATCTTTAGTTTATGTGCAGGATTGACATCAGTATTATTAATGAATATTTCGTACGCATCGACTTTCCGGCACGGCATTTGGATTCGCTACCATCTAATTCAATGAAATTTGTGGTTCCTCATTTATCTCGCTGCAATGCTGCTATCACAATGACATTGCTACTGTTACTACTTTTAGTTTGTTGAGGACATGGGGGAATTGATAGACCGTGGGATGGATTTTCGGAAACCTAGCTTAGGAGAATACACGGCCCCTTCGAGCTTGCATGTGTTTATGCCGGTATCCGCCAGAGGTTTCACACTGTTCACGCAACAGGATATCGGTCAGCTCAGGAAAGGGCTTGAACTTCATTACAAATGATGTAAATCTGTTATCAAAATACGATGTAAATTACAATCGGTAGGATTTTTATAGGAAAAGAAAAGCAGAAATGTAGTCATGTGGAAATACAAGGAGTACATCTCAAGCGCGTGAAATAAACAACAATGAGGAGCTCACCATTCTTCGCTTGCGAAACGTCAGCCGAAAATTAGTAATAAAATAAAGAATGTTGGACAATCGTTTACGGTATGGGAACAGACCCCTTAATCGGCATTCTTTTCAGCAGAATTCATTGGTTATCTTAACCTGATCTGGCTAGTGGTATGTGTTCGTAACAAGCGTCTTCTAAGCCGGTATAGAGCATAAGGCCGATGACATTGAAGAGTAAAATCTCCTCGATGTCGACGATCGAAACGCATCCATTTTGGCCATACAGCTAAATCCTTTCGAAAGTAGTGTATAGAAAAACCTGGTTTATGTGTATTATTCCTGTAGCTAACATCTTTTGGCGCTCCTGCCATGCAATACGTTCATCCTCTCTTTTATATTTCTCCTTTCTTCACCATAATTGCCAACGTGTCTTCACAGTTTTCTACGTCACAGCTATGTAACATGATCGTTTTGGCCGCGCGCTTAATAGGGACGCATTTTGGCCGCTAAATCGTACTTTCAATGCACAAGAAAAAGGTTAAGGAGAACTCGCCAGGCGCTAAGGTCGGTTGTTTCTAATTTTAGATACAGCTTTTGACCAGAAAATGCAAAAAAAAAAAGATCTCGTGCCATGGGCACTTTAACTAAACGCCTCATCATCACTTGTAGGGTGAGTTTATTGCATGAAACATTTTCTCTCAGTGAACTCTTAGGCCTAGTTCAAACGTCGATCTTTACATGTACCGAACCTAATTGCAATTTGGGTCGTCTCGAATAATTAAGAGCGGCAGTTGATTCAAACGTCTATACAAATCTGCCGATCCTAATTGATTCAAACGTCGATCTTTACATTACTTAATAGAAACGTTAGGTTGGAGGACTAGATCTCACCACGTTGTTTCCTCTACTTACTTGGAGGACTGTAGTTCAACAGCTTGTAAGTTGCCTCAAATCCGTCATAATCCATGTTTGCATCATCGGACACAAACACCACCCTCAAGCTTTCGTGCAGTGAATAAAACTTTACAGGAGGAAACCTTGGTGTACCACATAGTTTTCCAGGCAGCGCTTTATCACTGAAGCTATTCTGAACTTCCATATAATCACACGAGCAAGCAGTGCCATTACAACGTTGTAGATTATAGTCTGGTATTGTGACCTCAACACGGTATCCTTGTTTCCCTATAATCTTCCAGCTACATGTCTGGTTGAATGGATAGTTTCTTGGATTAAAGGGAGAGGACAAAGAACCCGATGTTTCATCGAGGATTACATCTGTTGGGCACACTGAAAAGAGTAACAAAGACTGTGTCAGGCTTCGAAACTGTTTTAGTTTTGATTTTTAGTTTGGAAAGAACCTGATGTTTCATTGAGGATCATATCTGTTGGACACACTAAAAAGAGTAACCAAAAGTGTGTCAAGTTCAGGTAAATTTATCTTACTTATGGTAATAAAGATATGTCATTTTCTTAACTGCAATCGAAAATCAGCGGGTGAAGCCCCTTCCTGTTTTAATCCTTTTTGTTCCACAAGGTTTACAGTCAACTGTGGTCCACTGAATACTTTTCACTTTCTTCTATATATAGCTTATTCGCTGTATAGATGTTAACGAGCTTGTGTTTCAAATGGAATAATGGATTGTATAGAGAGTAGGGATTTGAGGGTTTGACTACATTCTTCTATAGACTCTAGCTGTTCATTGATCGTTTGTATTGTATTATTTGCTGGGTAAGCCCAAATCAAATTCCCGCTTATATCTTTAAGGGTATCATGTTTCCTGATAAACTGGCACAAGGACTTACGTGAATCTCCATCTATCGCCTGAAAGGTTGCATTGAACCCTTTGTTTACAGGGCCGGTGCGAGATTCAAATCTCACTTGAATGAAATTTCCCTCGGAGTACAGTTCATTTTCCGTATGTTGACGGTTATATAATTTAATCAATATAACGATTGTGAAACATAGCAGCTTGCGTTCGAGTAAAAGGCTTGACTATATGCAATTTTTTTTCTGCAGGCTAAAGCTGTTAAAAGATTGCTTACGTTATTATTTGCATGATATATTCAACATTATTCTCACTCAGTTTAATAGGGGTACGTGCTCAGTACAATTGTATGCTTCCAGTTAATAAACTACCATAGAAGAAAAGTTCTTACATGAATCTCCATCTATCGCCTCAAAGGTTGCATTGAACCCTTTGTTTACAGTGCCGGTGCGAGATTCAAATCTCACTTGAATGAAATTTCCCTCGGAGTACACAGGAGGGGGAAGCTTTTGACCACAGATCTTAAAGTCGTTAGGTTTTCCTCCATGAGAGGCAACGTTTGTGATAAAGACCCGGGCACTATCATCTGGCGCTCCAGCACAGTCATCATTTTCACCTGTTACCAGGGTAAAGTTCAAGAAGGTCAGTTTGATGATTTTCCCACCGGGCACCGTGATATTCCAGGTACAAATCCTGTTTCGGTCATAGTTGTCGGGAAAATTGGGGCTGGAAATGTGACCACTAGAAGCATTAATGGATTCTCCAGGAGGGATGCAGGCTGAAAAAATAAGTATCTCTCAGTTACTCTCTTGGTTTCTTATCGTAGACAAAAGAATTTCAGCAAAATAAAAATTTAAAATGTGTTTCAAACTAGCACTTTTGTTACCATATCTTTTCTAAGAATGAGAATTCCAGTTGACTTAAACAAAGACCAAACCTGTGGATTAAAATGGAAACATGTAAGACGAATATTTATACTTACGATCACTTGTCACCAGAGTCAGGGAGGCAACTGCAACAAATACAATCAAAGTGCTCTGTGAGTAAACTCGTGAATTGACACATGATTTTTTAGATTATGTTTAATGTTATCTGGTTTAGGGAATTTTGTGGTTGATTGTCATATCTAGAGTACGAGCAGTAGTTCAGTGTTCGCTAATGTAGCAAAGAAACAAAGTAACGTTGAGATAAGAAGGCATTACAATTGAAATGATCATGCTATTACATTTGACAAGGTGGATGATGTCATGTGTTTTTGTTTCTGTTTCAAAAGAAGTAAATGTGGGTGAAAAGTGAAATTTACTGTCTTTCGTTGTAAATATTAGAAAATCAAAGCAATACTGTCTTAATGAAAACATTAACGATTCCCTCTTTATCAAATGAGACAAACGGGAACGAGTTTTGAGTGATATAACTAAGCCAAGCCTGCCACCGTCATTTTGGATCTTGAAGTCACGTGCTAGGCAACGTATAATCAATAACAAGATAGAATTTCATTTCAGGCCTATTTATCAATTTTGTGGTGTGTAACTTTCGCATTTTAATACGTTGTACGTATGTTGAATCTTCAAATTGTCTTGAAACTTAAAAGAAAATTGTTCTTTAAAAATTCACTGAAAATCGGTAGCTAAAATTATTTGTTTAGGTGTTATTTGATTTTCGTGTTAACTTGTTATTTCGTCAGTCGCCGGCATCTTTTGTTGCTTCACACAGGAAAAACACACGCGACGAAACGTAATGATCAATTTTGTCCTCAAGCTCACGCTATAACAGAAAAAGCTTTTGAACATCTGTAAACTCCGAGCGCTTCGCAGTAGGTGATATTTTCAATGAATCTTCGGATTGTTTTCAAGTTCAAGGATTGTAAATTACAATTTTATGAAAAACGAAGGTTGTTCTGTTATTTTAGTGTGAATCCTTGCATGCCGGCCAGTCGCTGGCGTCGCTTGTTGAAACTAAAACGAAAAAAAAAATCTCTTTTAAGATTATCATTGGCTTCTTTTTCACCCCACCACTATTAGCAACAAAGGTCGCCATTTCGTCTGTTTATTACTCGCCAAAAACTATCAAATGCACTCAAAAGCCTAAAATCTAAAAAAAGTTTACAGGAATCGACCAATCGAGCGAGCGAGCGAATACCATTCCCCACGTCGTATCTATAACTCGCTCTTGCGCATGCGCGCAATTCACGAGTTAAAAAACGAACATGTGAAAACGTAACTTAACTTAAGGAGTAGGAACAGTTCATTCTAAATGCTGACATGTTCGAGGTCATTTGAGCTAAAAGGAAAAGTGGACAAAGCTCAAAGAGAAAGGAGAGTCCCATCGAGTTTTGTTAGAACTGCGATGGTTTCCATGTGAGACCACAGGGAATTTCCGGCCTAATTTTGAGCTCTGAGTTTTTACTTACAGTATTTTAAGGCTAGCTCATCAGAAATAATGGTCATTGCAAGATTTTTGAATCAGTCGTATTCCATATGGACGCTGTGGGCAAAACACTCTTCACATAATTTTACTAACGAAGTTTTTCCGTGTTTTAAATGAAAGCCATTCAAGATTGCAATCTTGATTCCTTTTAGACGCCTCTGAAGAGGGCGAGACAGCTGGAGTTTAATGTGAAGTGAAGGTAGATCCTTTCGACTTTCGAGAAATTGTCAAGATCTTAACCTGTAAAGTAGATGGGCCTTTCTCGCAGATTTTATCCGACTGAGCCGCCTGTGTGGTATGGCATCTTGTAAGACAGAAGCAACAGCAAAATTTCACAAGCTTTAAGTATTTTGACTGCCTGAATTTTTTATGAAACGTTCCCCAAATATTATAAATAAAGAAATAAATAACAACTTTGTTTAAGGAGGGTAACACATAACAGTAATTCGACTGATGAACTAATGGCCCTCGATCTTAAAAGTGCCGTAATTTGAATTAAAATGTATTCGAGGATTATAAAACTGGTCAACGGCTCTATAAGGATGCAAGCTAAAAATTAATGTCGGACTGAAATGTTCTACTTCATCGTAGCTCGTTAGAAAATGTCTGTGTAAGGCCTTTCTGAAAGAAACAACTGTTGTCGCCTCTTTTTTTAGGTTCATGGGTAGTTGGTTCCACAGCCTTGTCGCAGATACGCTAAAGGTCTTCCCTCCCTCGGTTTCGCGATTGAAACGAGGGCAGGTGAGATTTAATTTAATATAACGACCAGTTCGTGTGTGTAGGTCTGCATTAAATTTGAGTAGATCGTACATATAAGCAGGAAAGCTTCCTTGTAAATGCTTAAAGACTAAGGCACTCTTACTTAATTTAAATTTGTAATAGACAGGGACCAAACCAAAGAGTTTCATGCTATTCGACCTTGTATCAGCTTCCAAGATAACTCGGGCAGCGCGTTTTTGAGGTTTGAAGACTCTCGTTATGTTACCACTTGAACAGTTCGACCAAACAGTGATCCATATAACATTAGTTGTTTTATCATTGCGTTATTGGCAATGGGGAGGAATCTTCTCATCTTCCTAAGCACTGCTATTCTTTGGGATAGTTTCTTACATTATAGGAATGCTTTTGTGCCCTGAACAACCCTCCGCCGGGGCCCTCTCTCTTTCGAATGAGCTATCGTTGTGAGCAGTGAAATTAAAGTCTGACTACGATCGTTAGAAAATATAAATAAGGAATACAAAACAGAGAATCTAAACTATACCGCTACATTTCCACGTCATTAGTAATACGTTGAGAAAATATAAAAATAGCGACCGAAATCATATCATGAACCAAACGTAACGTCAAGTTGTTTAGTATTAATCTTGAATTTTACTAATACCAGTATTGACAACAGCCATTAATCATGATATGGCCACCATGTCTATGAAAAAACAAATGCATAAAAAGTCACTTATGAGCGAAAGTTGATTTTTAAATTGCTAATCTCATTAAAGGTACATTTGGACAATAATATTGACCTGTATTGTGTACGTGGCAATGTTCACGTACTTTATAATCGACTGTTAATATCGACCTTTCCCTACGCATCGAGTTAATGCCTTCTGCCCTAACTTATTCTCATATCTAAGCATGAGTGTCAATTCTACATTCGCGGGTGAAACTAAAATCTTTGAAACTTATGAAGCTAAGAAATGCAAAGTATTTTGTTCGTGTTCGAACATGTTCGTTGAGTTAAGACAAAATCTACTAAAATTGAATATACTCGACAGGCATCAATGGATAACAAGATGCAAGAAATCATCGAACCAAATCTCAAAGTGAAACACTGATATTCAAAATGTACCATTGAACTTGATTCCTAAGACAAGATAAAATCAAGAACAGAACGTGATCCAAGAGTATTAGCCCATTAAAATGACCATAGAGATATATCCTTTAAATGTCTTTGAAGCAAATATGATGAGTTGACTGACAAGAGACTGTATAAATCATACCTTAAACGAACTCACCAGAAAAACTAACCACAATCCAGGCTGTGATCATGTTTGTATTCAAACTGGTTAATATCTTTTTTAACGGTGCTCACCCCCTTTTCATTGAGGAATCGTCGAGGTCGAAATCAACAGAGAGCGGAAGATGCGTGTATTTTACGTTTAACAGCGGAAATGTGTAACCATGCTGAGCCAGAAAACTGAGTGAAACCTATCAGGAACCATTACGTCATTGTGACGTCTTTTATCGTTCCAGTGTCTGAGCCGATAGCTGCACTGTTGTTTAATGAACAGAGGTATGCCTAACACCACAGCTTTTCTTAAAATTATTGTTTTGCTACGAGTGTTTCAATGAAAGAAACGAGAAGTGAGTAATTACACACTGAAAGGGGGAGGGGAGGGAGAGTTCCCCTCACCTCTACCCCTCTAGCTCATTAAAGAAGTTACTATTTCGGCGGGCTACAGGCAACTAGTGATTCACGACTAACGATGGAGCCATGGCCCACCTTTGAAAACAGTTCAAGCGAGAAATTAAGTAGTGGCGTAGTGCGATCGTAATGCAAAAATTAAATCGGTTTTTCTGCTTAGTTAACTAATACCCCAACAAGAGCAAACCGAAAAATCGAAAAAAGAGATGGAAACCGAATTCCGTGAAGTTTATCAGGACCACATGAAGTAAGAAAGTTTGTCCTGTCATACCTGAGGAAAGCTTGTTTTTAAAGAATTTATCACGGACTTTGGGGTATTAGCTCCTTTATTGTTGAGGAAGAAGCATCATACATTCTTACAGAACAGTAAACAAAGCTTCATTAGAAAAACATGCTTTTGTCTGGTTTGAACCGCAAAGGACGAAGATTAAGTGTTTTCCTCGGTTGGGATGTCGATTTACAAATCGTCATTATCTAAAATTCATTGTTGAACTTGAGAACAACATTCATTAAATTCCTTTTGAGATTGACGCACATAGCCAAAGACTAAAAATTTGCGAAATTTTTTTCAAGTAGATTCGGTTGAGACTTGAAAAAATAACCACCTGTACTACGAATTATAATTAATTTCAATTTTCTTTGTTCCCCGGCAAAGATTTAACTCAGGAGGTATAAATTTCATAGTTGGAGTGTAACATCTATCGATACAATGGTCGTTGAAGTAAAGTTTCGAAACGTACATATCAAAGTTGCCTTCTTCTAAAGAAGCTCAGAGCGATGGTGCATGTCTATCTAGACTATACCTCCGGCGCCGGTAACATTACGCATCAGAAAAGCAGGTAAATTTGGTGAAAGCTGAACTTCGTAAACATCGCTGTTGTATTCTATTGACACGAAAGTCAAATTATGACGATATCAGAATATCGAGCGTTTTCGATATGCTTTACACCTCAAGCAATCCCTCTTAACTGTAAACAAATTGAGCAAAACCGGGCCGCCAACAATTGTAGCAACAATCTCGTAATATTTTTAATCTCGTAATATTTTTAACGCGGGGCTTGTACGCTTTTTGTTTTTACATAGAGCTCCAATTTTGCGAAGCAGAAATTATAAGTATAATGATAAAGATAAATATCCGGCACCGAAGAATCGAACAGAAATTTAAAAAAGCAAATGAAGTAAGAGTTGTCACCCGGGAAATCGAAGACAACTTAAAACTCCAGGAAGTTTAAATTACGATCGGCCTATACCTAACTAAAAGTTGCGTGCAACAGCGACATAAAATTCAAGTTCTTTTCCTTTATCTGAATCACGAACCTACCTCCAATAGCAACGACGAGCCAAAACGAAGCCATTAGCGAACAGACCACTCGTTCACGACTATTCAGTAATGCTTTGGTGTCCGACTTCAGTTGGCCAACGCAATGAGCGAGAAATTTTTGTCAACTGCGAAAGCAAAAACATAGACCACACAAGACTGAATTAATATTACCGGTCAATATCCATTGCGGTGCAAAGCACGGCCACACGAACCCCAGGGGACCTCAATACCCCTTTGTTGAACAATTCAAACGATTATGTGCTCATGGAAGATCCTTTGTTTCTTGTATTCTTGTCAAATGAGGCATTTCTAGCAAGATCAAAAAGTAGAAAGCAGAATTTCGATTGTTAGAGAATCGTGCGGAGCCTTACCCGAGTCATACCTGGTAGGAAATACTCTCCGATATTTTGCTAGGGCAGGATCTGTCTGATGAAGTATAGATAACTTAGTCCACCTTTGTATTTGCACGACTTTTAGCGTGAATTAATTAGTTGTACAAGTCTGACAACTGTACCCAGGAATTGTAACAACGCAAACGTAGAATGTCTAATAAACAGGAGGTTTTGGTTTAAGAGTTCAAAATCCTTTTTCAGTTCTGTACAGTCTGGACCCCAAAAAAAATTCCAGTAACTATTTATAACTTTTCTATATGGAACACATACTTCGAAGCTTGTTTCCGATAACGAGTTATTTTAAGGAACAAAATGCTCATATTGTCATCCTGATGATTCAGCACTGAACCTTGAGTCAACTTACACGGGAAGTCGATGTCAAATCAGAACCATTAGGAGTCATTAACCGCCGCCCACACACTCCAAAGCAAGCTGCCGTGGAATTTTATTCCTGAGCTCGAGAGTCCGAAGATATCATTCAAAATAGTCAGTTCAAACAAAAATGTTAAATTATGCTCTAGCCCATTGTCGTCACGGAGGTCAATATTTTCAATCGCTCAGTGTTCGATGTACTGCTTGTTTAAATTAACATAAGTGGAGTTTGGTTGAAGTGAGTGGGTTGGTATGGCTCTTAGTCCTGAGTCATAAACAATAATTAATGTAAATGCTTTTGAATTTGACTGCTTTTATTTGCGTGAGAAATATCACAGACAGCGGGGCGCTATAACCTTTTGTAAAACCAGCTGCCGATTTAAAAAAAAACACTTGCGCTTAGTACAACAGCGCATGCTAACGAGGATCATTCGTTTGGGTATGACACTTGGCGCGATTATTTAATGAAATCATAGTGAAATAACTTGGATATTATGACTATTGTCACTTTGAGTGTCAAGTTAATATCCCAAGTATCGTTTCAATTACATCACGTCGCCACGAGAAAGGCGACTTTCGCGCGCGTTGTACTGCGTGACCCCCGCGTAACTCATGACCCTCCTGCTTTCCCAAAAGGAAACAGAATTAGCTACTTTGCAAGCATCTCGAAATTCTCGTCCATTTATTTGTCTCTTTGCTTTAGTAAGGTTTATTATCACCGTTGTACTCTCTTCATATTACATATATCTTTTTTCCCTTTCAAAATTGCCCCCAGCTTTCAAGGGTTACACAAATGGTTGCAAACATCGTGTCATTCCTTGCTTAAACGGAGTGCGCATGCTCGTTCCACTATCTTGCATCATAGCCTCCAGTTTCGAACACTCAAGGGCTGTATTATGAGGCCTTGGTGTCCCTGTGGGAGGGTTGGGATTTGGTGTCAAGTGACTGATAGGTAAATTAAAACTTTCAGCCATTTGACAAGCCATGGAATATTTTGACATGGCTTCAATGCCACTCCAATGCCAAATTCCAGTCATTGTATGATCACTGACGTGCTTTTCTGCAATAAATTTGCACACAGCAGCAACATCGTCCACCAGGGTTGGATAACGGATTTGATAATCGTCTATTACGGCAGGTTTATCCGTCTGCTTGACCGCATCAAATAACACTGCAATTGTGATAATAAATAGTTTAATCTCCTCCAGGTAATGAAAGCAATTAAGTGAAATTTACTAAATTAGATATATGTTTGACAAATTCACAAGTACATGAATTAGATAAAGGGAAGGAAACACATCTCAGCAAAGCACAACACAAAGAAAAACACAAGCAATTCAAGACCATGAAACATATATATTTATATATTTTTTTTAACCAGGAGTTCTGTAGTATCAAAAACAGTTCTGTGAAAGAGAAATATAAGAATGCCTGTTCACTGTCAAAATGCCAGCACCTTGAGATTAGAATATAAAAGCTCTGACTGCCCATCGTGCCAAGATATAACAGTAGGTATGAAGGAAGGACTTCAACATATTGCACACTATGGCACAGGACAATCTGAGTAACTAAGCTGCAAGGCTGATACACTCACAGCATAACAGCATCACAAATCACCTTAAAGTCAAAGTAAATTGAGTTTCAATATTCTGCTGAAGTGTAAGTGTCCACTTTAAATAGTGGTCATGACCAAATTCTAAATTATACCAATCTTTACATATGAGTACAATTTTTCTGGCTTGCAGAACCCCTTCAGAACTTTACATGCCTAAAAGCCTCTTCATGAACCTTGTGAACAAGCCAACTGAGATTCTAAGACTGTTAGATCTCAACTACTGTATTCACTAGTGTATAAGTTGAACTTGTGTAATAGTCACCCCCCCATTTACAAGGTCAAAAATCAGATTTTTCATCATTTCTAGTTAAAGAAGTAAAATTCAGACCAATAGAAATTTCTCAAAATGTTAATCTCTTATTTCTGAGAATGTATTGAAAACAGTGCGAATTAACCCTTTAACTCCCAGATCAAATTTGTAATTCTCCTTACTGTCAACCATACAATTCTTATAATATAAGTTCAGAGAGTTTAGTATTGGATCAACTAATCATTCCCAAATTTATATTTTTCTTAATTCTCATCACTTATCTGGTTGATATTGTATTGATATTGTAAGGAGAAATTCTGTCTTGGTCACTCATGGGAGTTAAAGGGTTAAAAAAAATTTGCAAAGAAAAATGTAATCATGTGCTGTGAAGTTTATTAGCACCTCAATTATATCACCACGATTTAAGCATACATGGGCACTACCATTCACTTGAGAAGTATTTCACCATATTTTGTAAATCACATTGAAAATGAAATCTTCTTACATTAAACTAACCTTTATTTTAATGTTAAGTTTGCGAGGAGATTTAGTAGAATGAAGGAACACCAAAGAGCTTTGAAGGATTATGCATAACAAACAAGACTGCGCAAGACAACAGCATTTGCCAGGTCACTGAGCTACTGTATTCATTTGATGAACACAAAAGTTCAGCACCATAAACAGCAGTGAAGCTGTAAGAAAAAATGTCTACTCTACAGATCAGAAGACACAATAGGAATCAACTCCAATATGTTTGTGTTTAAGCCACTTAGAATTTATTATTTCAAACTTTTTCATTGATGAAGAATGCGCTGAAAACTGATGAAATTCAAACACTATTATAACTGGTTTTGTAAACTTGGTTTTCCTAACAGACTTCAGGCAATTGCTATGCTAATTTCTTGGATTGCTTAGGTCAGGTCTTTGTGTATGACTCAAGTATAAGTCCAGGGTGATTTTTTGGGCTGATTTTTTGGTCATGAAAGGTATTTGTGCACCTTTTCTCTCAGAAATAATTTTCATGTGTTAATTTAGGTACGGGACAAAACCTGGTTACTAAAATCTCAATTTTGAAGACAAGATTATAACAGTGAACCAGGTGAGAAATTTGCACAAGTTAACACTTCAGCCTGGCAGCCTGGCAATCATGATAAAACTTGGGTGTTTAAAGTTTGTATTTGGTGGATGTATGTGTTAACCCTTCAACTTCCAGAAGTGACTAACATAAAACTTCTCCCTACAAAATCCATACATTCTTCAGCTAACAGGAGACAAGAATATTCAAACTTATCAGGTAGAAGCTGCTATCTTGATCTAGCACCAAGTTCTCATAACTAATTTACAAGGAAATGTGTTGCAGCTACAGGGGAGAATTAACAATCAGATCTTGCGAGTTAAAGGGTTAAGGGTTTCATGGCCTTGTCCTGATGTAAGAGAGCTATGTATTGTTGATATTTGAAGAGCACATCTTTTCCAGACAGAATTTTGATTATTTTCTAAAATCAAGGGCTGCATGTACAGTAATTTCCCACCGATTACCCGCAGGTAATCTGTTAATTTTTCCACAAACAGTTGTTAATGCAGGTTATAGGAAGGTGCTGGTAGTATGGTAACTTTTAAAGCTTCCGGTATAGTTTTAAAACTATAACCAGGGAAAAACCAAAGATGATCAGATCCACTGAAGATACTCTTCAAAAACTGTAATAACTCATTTATTTTGCACAGATTGCTTGTTATAACCATAGATTTCAATGCTCTCGATGAAAGCCTATGCAAATGAAAAACATACAAAACTTGACAACAAAACTTTTATCTTGTTTATACTCTTACTTTCTTACCTTGTCAAATTCACAGCTTGTTTCTTTTTTAATTTCAAAAAACAATTCTCACTTACTCGGAAAGTGAACTTGAAAATAAAAGAATTTAATTGTGAAAAAGCTGACATGTTGATTTCATGGCACAGCATAATTAATGACACAACAGAATTTTCAACACATCAGTGAAATTTTCTTAGCTAGCATTGCCTTGAGTTAAAGAGTAATTTCCCATTTCAAGTGATTACTCATAGATCTTGAGATATCGATTTTTTTAGAACAGATTTTTACAAGTGGTATCATTCTCAGTGAAACAGCGAAGATGAAAAGTGTGAAAATTTATTTTTTGCATGCTAAGGGATATCACGTCAACAAAAACAATAAAGGAACTTTGTGCAAGTCGATAATTTTCTTTTTTTTCGGGTGCAGGTTATCTGCCAGTGCGGGTAATCTGTTGAAATTTTTTTCTAGTTATTGCAAAAATTGACCAATGTGGGTAATCTGCCGCGCAGGGAAATTGACAGAAATTACTGTAATATACTGGGTTAAGCTGGCTCCTCAACAAATCATAAAACAAGAGACTCAGAGATTCTACCCTAGTATGTAACTGGTACCTTGTAAGTAACTGAACTCAACTCTGTCATTTCACAACAGTTAATTTTGAAATTAACCCAATGCACAGAAGACACCATTTATCCCACTATCTGAGCCAGCCTGGTTACCTGATCAATTCCCTGTTCACTCCATATGATTTGATGCAAGTTCAATAGAACTTACATGGGTCGTGAGAGAGGGCTGTTGTTCCACAGCCTGTCCCTAGGGGAAATTATGGGGAAACTACATGATACTCCTCCACATTGTTGCTGAGCTTAGAAGAATTAGGTGAAGAATAATGGACAATCCTCTTATTCACTGGGGTGAAGTTAGATGGCACGGCACGTGGGAGGATATTTTGCAGGTTAGCCCAAACAATTATGCAATACAATCCTGATAAAACAATACTGTATACGCACCCGTTACAGCGCTTTCCTTAAGATATTCCACATCCCCGTACAAGATGGGAACCCGAAGAATCGCTCCTTCACTGTGATGCATAACCTGTTCTCCCTCCAGCTTGCTTTTTCCATACTTGTTCAAAGGGTTAGGTTCGTCCAGCGGTTTGTACGGAGGACTTGTTCCATCGAACACATAATCTGTACTTATATAAACCATGAAGTGGTCTGGAGTCTCCCTGTCACTGTTGAGCTCATTAATGGCTTCTACCAGTGCTTTGGTTACACCGACATTCATTTTTGTGCACGTTCTCTCGTCATTCTCTACAATGTCTGGTCTTCTTTCGGCCGCAGAGTGAATCAAAACATGAGGTTTGAACTCCTTTACGACTCGTTTACTTTCGTCAAAATCAAGGAGATCAACCTTTCTTAGAACGTTCTTAGCTCGAGAATGAGCTAGTCCTAACACTTCCCATTTGTCGGAGTTAAGGAATTCCTTCATGATTGCCCGACCAAGGAGACCAGAAGCTCCAGTGATGATCACGCGTTGTTTCTTCGCCATGTTAACATGAAAGTGGTTACCAGGGAACTCGTCCAAACATATTTCATGACGTCCACTATCACAAAGAAAACTTCTCTACCTAGAAGTTGAAAGTCCAACTCGGAGCCTGACCCAGTAAAGGTAAGCAGTATATAAAGCCACAAAGTGGCTGCACTTACAGCCGTGAAAAGCTCAATGTTAGAAAATCTTGGCACGGTCCTAAACCAGAAAGCTTTCTTTGGCATGTAGAACATACAAACGAGCCTAAGGCGCAATTCAAACAAGCTTTCGGCGAAAATCGCGGACAAGTAGTGTATTTAGTGAGGATTAAATCCTTCCCAATCTCTCACTGAAGGGAAAAAGCTTTAATTCAATGACATCAAAGTTGTTTTTGTAAGGGCCGAGAGGAACAGCAGCGAAAACAGGAACTTTAGTTCTTTTATACCGTAAATTGTACGAGTGATGCATTATGCCATGCCTAGGGGATTGAATAAACAGACTGTGAAACTGTTTGGCAAAACTCCAAGCAGAAATTTGTGTTACGTGTGAGCCGACTTAGCAACCATCACGGAAATATCTTTGTATCTATAGTCTTAACAATCAAGTCAATTCCTTTCTTTAAAACGATGCGCATCTGATTGAATATTCCGTTGTAGATCGAGGAAGCAGAAGACAACAAAGACGCATTACGCTTTATATCAAAGGAATTGTGATTCCACGGTGACAAGAAGAGTCCCGTTTGCGTATGACGTATTTAGCGTTTTGACTTCGTACTTCGCTACGAACCCAAACAGCAAACACTGGTGAAGTGGAAGTGAGTTGCCTGAAATTATGGCTTTGTCTTGGATACTAGCTTTCAGTTTAGCAGGTGAGCGTACAAATCACACAGAGCTAGATCTGTGATCTTCAGTTCGTTATGCTGCATATGTGAAGGATGAAGATCGCGTCTGTAGAAGTGGTACTGATTGTTTAGCTTCCTTCTTGTGGTTTGTCCGCGGTTTTTTTACAGACTGGTCAACTTAAATATTCTTCCCTGCATCCAGCTATCAAATACATAACCTAGTTTCTACCTCTTGCCTTTAATCACCGAACAGTCAGACACCTGCCATTCTATTATGAGGAAGTTTGCTTTTTAATGTCGCCTAAGTCGATTTTACCCGTTCTCGCTCTTTCGCGACTACATCATGATCTCTTCACATGGACGTAGTCTCTTTTTTTCATTTTGTTTTCTTCTTTATCGAAACAATTCAAAATGAGACTGATGTTTTTTAAATGCACTAGCTTTGAGTACAGCGGAAGCCTCGCCGCGTAGTCACGCAATTATTGTTTTCGAAACTAGAATAAAGCTCTCACATTACACTAGGTGAACAGTAGTTCGTCAATATTGCTTCCTTTTAAAGCACTTCAATTTTTTCCGAGGTTGACTTGCTACCAAGCGATAATAAGTAAAGGATATTGCGTGACCGCGCGGAGATACGAAATTTTTTCTTTGAATGTTTACATATTTATTACATAAACACAAATGAAATATCAAATCATTTAATTTTGATGTTTTTTCTAAAAATAAAATTTTGTTACAGTCATCTCAGAGGAAAAGTTTTCACGTGTAAAGATAACATTTTTTCGCGTGAAAGCTCACTTGATACGTCATTGGTTTTTATTTAATGAACTGTTATACTTCATAATCTTTCGCTTGTCATATACAGAAAAAAAAACCTTCCTGTCTCAGTCAATAACATTTTCACATGTTCTTTCTTTGTATTTGCTGCAGCTGCCTCCTTGACTCGAGTGATAAGTGGTCGTAAGTATTAACATTCGTCATAAATGTCTGCATTTCAATTTACAGCTTTGTTTTGCGTTTAAGTCGACAGCATATCTCATTTTTACTAAGGTAATGGTAACAATTATGCTAGTGTTAAACTAACTTTCAATTCTACATTAGTGAACTCTTTTTATGTAACAAGAAACCAAAAGAGTTACTGAGAGATACTTTCTTTTTCAGCCTGCATCTCTCCTGGAGAATCCATCGATGCCTCAAGTGGTCACATTTCCAGCCCCAATTTTCCCAACAACTATAACGCAAACAATATTTGTACCTGGAATATCACTGTGCCCAGTGGGAAAATCATCAAACTGTCCTTCTTGAACTTTACCTTGGTGACAGGTGAAAACGAAGACTGTGCTGGAGCGGCAGCAGATAGTGCCCGAGTCTTTATCACAAACGTTGCCTCTCATGCAGGAAAACCTAACGACTTTGAGATCTGTGGTCAAAAGCTTCCCTCTCCTGTGTACTCCGAGGGAAATTTCATTCAAGTGAGATTTGAATCTCACACCGGCCCTGTAAACAAAGGGTTCAATGCAACCTTTGAGGCGATAGATGGAGATTCACGTAAGAGCTTTTCTTCTATGGTAGTTTATTAACTGGAAGTACAGAAATATACAGAGCATGCACCCCTATCGAGCTGAACGAGAGTTTTGTTGAGTATATCATGCAGATACATGTAATAAAGTAAACAATCAGCTAAAGTCTGTAGAAAAAAAATTGAATGCAATCAAGTCTTTAACCTGAACGCAAGCTGCTATGTTTCACAATCGTTATATTTATTAAAGCATAAAACCGTTAACATACGGAAAATGAGCTGTAGGCAGTGTTGGAAATCATCCCGCTGACCAAAAAATCACCACGCGGAAAAATCAAAACTAAAACAGTTTTCGGAGAGTAAGAAGCTTCATCAAGATTTTTTTTGAATAAATTAATTTTTTACAGCAGGAGGATGCATTTCCCTAAAGCTGACGGTCCTTGTTACTCTTTCCAGTGTGCCCTACAGATACAATCCTCGATGAAACATCAGGTTCTTTGTCCTCTCCCTTTCATCCAAGAAACTATCCATTTAACCAGACATGTAGCTGGAATATTACAGGGAAACAAGGATACCGTGTTGAGCTCAAAATACCAGACTATAATTTTGAACGTTGTAATGGCACTGCTTGCTCGTGTGATTATATGGAAGTTCAGAACAGCTTCAGTGATCAAGCGCCGCCTGGAAAACTATGTGGTACACCAAGGAAAATTCCTGTAAAGTTTTATTCACTGCACGAAAGCTTGAGGGTGGTGTTTGTGTCCAATGATAAAAACATGGATTACGACGGATTTGGGGCAACGTACAAGCTTTTGAACTACAGTCCTCCAAGTAAGTAGTGAAAACAACATCGTAAAATCTAAGAGTTCACTGAGAGAAGATGTTTTATGTAATAAACTTACCCATACAAATAATGATAAGGCGCTTAGTTGATCCATGACTATTCTGGCCTATTCCAAGCGTTCTAGTTAGTCAAACAAAGCGAAATAGCGAAGCTCGAGGGTGGTGTTTGTGTCTGACAATGAAAGAATGGATTGCGATGGATCTGGGGCAACTTACAAGCTGTTGAAGCACAGTCCTCCACGTGAGTAGTGAAAACAACGTCGCAAGATCTAAGAGTTCACTGAGGGAAGATGGTTTTTGCGCGATAAATTCGCCGGTACAAGTAAAGATAAGTGGCTTAGCTCATTGGAGTGGAGGTTATATCTGTTATCAATTGGTGATGAAAATTTCTCTGATACGTTAATGTAAGCAGGCTTAGGTCTTATATAATAATCTATGATCAGGAATGACGTAAGCACATAAACGCTTTTTTCCTTCTATGACTACCAATAAATAATGGAGAATGAGGTGTATTCAAATATTCAATGGGAGCTGGATTTTCGCGTGCGTTTAATCAACTTTTGACTTCGGTACTAGTGTGATTTTCGTAAAGATAAAGCCAGTATAATTTTTTTCTAATTGAAAATGGCGGTTTTTGTGTCTAGAGCGTGGCAACTAGAATCCTTGCAAATGCTTGCAAGGTAGTTGATTGTGTAAGAGATTCATATAAGGCAACATATGAAGTAATGCTGTTGTGGTTTCTGTGAAGTTTACTGTACGTGACAGGCTACATTTAGTAACACAAAAATGACAAGAATGCGTAACCAGTTACGTCCCGTAACCACGTCGATATTTTGTCGTAAGATCTGTCGTGTTAAGTCGGAAATCCATATTTGAGCAAACAGAGGAATATTAGAAACCAACTGAATTCGAAAAAGCTAACGTCACGAGAAAACTTATCGTCGAAGAAAACCATGCGTTTTGTAAACTGTCCTGTCTTGTGGAGGGGCTGAGATGGCGAAGTAAGGTTATTTCGGCGAGTAATCCAGTCTTTTCTTAGTTCATGATACAGAATCGACTTCCGATCATACGCGCTCACATTTCACCCTTATAATTGACCTTTTGTACTTTATTTGTCGTCATTTCTCTTGTAATCGACATGTGGTCAACGCTACACGGCCAGTAGATGAGTTTTAAGATTTTACGACTTTATTACCTGCGCAAGGATCCGCCCTTAGATATTAAGAGGCTGTCTCTCTTATTTCCACCCGGTCAATTTTGCGTCAAAAATAATTTTGCCTGAAACTCTGTTAACAGAAAGACTTTACCTAGGAAAGAACTAAATTAGATTTGGTTTGATTCGAAATAATTTTCTGACTGCATTACGGGCCATAATTATTTCCCAGTCCGTAGGGAACGTCGCAACGTCTCGAAAATTGAAAAATAGGCATATTTTGTAACGTTGTAAGATATTTGATTCGCATAGTTAAGCCACAGAATTTATATCAGATTGTTTAAAAACCTTTCTAGTTTGCCAAGAAAGTTAGAATTTGCCCTCTCAACAAATTTGAAAAGGCGAATTTTAGCATATTCTGACCACTAGAAATCGCCATCGGCCGATGGCCGTAAATAACCTTGATTTAGACGCTAAGTTTTGGGATTTGGGACCTGGTTGACGATTCAATCCTACACAGCCGTTAAGTTTAGACCTTTATAGGCAAAAATATGCAAAAACCCTTGTACGTTTTCGATTTTTCAAAAGTTATGACCGTTTGAATCAGCACATGTACGAGCATTCGCGATTTTTTCGCCTACACCAAAATCGAACCACTGGAGCAGATTTCGTCATAAATACAGCTTACCCGCTTTGCAGCCCGGCTTCATGGCTCACTTCAGAATTTTTCTAATAACCAAATTGGTGAAATCCATGATAACTTCAACAAATAGCTAGGTATTGCCTTCGAAAAGTAGGCGGCATCCATCGTGATTCGTGGTATCAAATCAAATGCCGGAATTGGCCACATTTCGCGGTGAATCACCCATTTAACGTCGCTGCAGAGCTGAATTTTTTCCAAAATCAGAATATAAACTCTCCATGTCTGGAAGCTGAGGGAGAAATGAAGGTTTTAGGCTTCTGAAGTGAAGAAATAATCGCTTAAATTTAGATCCAGTTCGATGTTATACTGTTCTCACAAAGGTCCGCACAAAAGAGAAGACCGCTGATAGCTTGTGCCGTACGTTGTGCCATATGGTTTTGTTTTGTATCCCAAAGTAATATTTGGGCAGAAAAATTTTGGATGAAAAGAATAAATGCTTTTACCTGGAGTTTGATATCATATAATTAATAAATCAATTTCAAATATCCTGAGCTTGCTTCTCTCGGTTCCGCGTCGATTGTGTCCACAGAACAGCAACCTGTCAATAGCCGGAGAAATCATGGGTTTATGTGAAATTTCAGATATTCCTCGCTTCCCAAACTGGTGAACTGGACTTTATGATAACTCCAGCAAATACCTCCAAAATTAAGCGGTCGGCATCTGTCGATACTCTTCTTTGACTCGTTGTTGCGAACTAAACTCGAAAACTAAAGCCATGTTTCGCGCTTAATGTCCCGTTGAAACTTTGGATTGCAGCTGCATTCTCTTCAAGAATCAGTCATAGAACTCCACTTGTAAGTCTATGTGTCGAAGTTTTGCGTTTTTAAAATTAAAACCGGACGATTGCACTATCGCGCATAACAGAGGTCCGCATTAATCATTGCGGGTAAACCCGCTAACCCTTTATTTTTTTTGGAAGGCCTGCAAGTGCAGTATGGCATGCAAGTGCTTTTTCGAAACCAGAGAGGCTTCAGTCTGTAGCGAGTCTTCAGCGAGGTTGTTAAAGCTTTCATTGGACAGAGGATACGCATTGATGAAACATCCAGAGAAGGGAACAACAGCTGCAGTAAGAATAGTAGACGAATCAAAGAACACTCTCTGTATAAATAAGATTGAGCATTTTAGTAGCTTCCACAACTTCGATTCGAATATGGAGATATCGGTCTGAGAGTTTGGAAATGTTATGGCATCGGTAAAGGGAAGTACATTCCATATGACGTAATTTATATCAGCACCAAGGTCAAACGTCCCTTCAAACCATAGAATCTCAAGGGTTTTATGATCCTCCTGAAAAGCGTGTGGTCAAGCGTCTTTCAAAGGGCAGCAAGGAAACAGAGAGTACAACGCCATTGTTTGAATGCTCTGTGTTTGGATGTGTTGAAGTGGTCGAAACCTTTCCGCAGCTGGAGCTGCACCTGGACGTTGGAAAGCATACAGTCAGCAGGTTAAAGCCAGTATGATGCAATCAAAAGGGGCTGGGCCCTTAAGTTCTCGTCGATAGATACCGCTGGTATCGAGTGTTCGAGCTGTTCGTTAGATTCTAGTACACCACTCACTTCTCCCGTGGATACTTCGCCCCACTCGTCTTTACGAACAGGATGGGCCGTAAGCAAACCAAGGGGCAGCGTTAGATTTTCAGAGAAGGTAAAAGAATACCTAACGGCACGGTTTACACTTGGAGAAAGAACTGGGCGAAAGGCCGACCCCGCCCAAGTTGCAGTGGACATGCGAAATGCGAAAAATGAATCAAATGCACGTTTGTTCACTAGAGAACAGTAGCTGACAAAGAACCAAGTTCAGAGCTTTTTCTCCCGGCTAGCAGCAATGCGGCGAAAAGATCAGGGTGAGATCGGGATATCACTGGATGAGGAGGAAGATATCCAATGCGTCCAGGAAAATTCCGAGAGATAAGATCTGGTAGACAAAGTTAACAAAGAGATCAAAGTCTCACATCCAATCTGCTACGATACGTAGGACCTCTGTGAACGTTACCACAATAACACACTTCAGAAATTCAATGTGGTTTTCTTGAGAGCCATCTGTAGTGATTTTGAGATCCCTGTAAAATTGAGAGACAAAAAACAGATCCTCATAGACAAACTGTCGGACGTGATTAGTGATTGTCAGTGTGTTTCTCAGTAGACTTATGTAAACAAAGTCTTATACGATGGCTGAAAGTGTAGAATATGCTCTACAGATACAAACTACCTTTACTTCCGATATCAAGTTCTGACGGCGTTGTTATAGTGTAATATATTATAATATCTAGTAGTCAGTGAAATTTTTTGATGAAATCGATTGAAAATTTACCAAAAGCAACACTTATAACATCTGTTCATACGAAGCATGTGTCAAGTTTTTAACACGTTGGTAGCCGATTTCTCCGGCTATTGACAGGTTGCTGTTCTGTGGACACAATCGACGCGGAACCGAGAGAAGCAAGCTCAGGATATTTGAAATTGATTTATTAATTATATGATATCAAACTCCAGGTAAAAGCATTTATTCTTTTCATCCAAAATTTTTCTGCCCAAATATTACTTTGGGATACAAAACAAAACCATATGGCACAACGTACGGCACAAGCTATCAGCGGTCTTCTCTTTTGTGCGGACCTTTGTGAGAACAGTATAACATCGAACTGGATCTAAATTTAAGCGATTATTTCTTCACTTCAGAAGCCTAAAACCTTCATTTCTCCCTCAGCTTCCAGACATGGAGAGTTTATATTCTGATTTTGGAAAAAATTCAGCTCTGCAGCGATGTTAAATGGGTGATTCACCGCGAAATGTGGCCAATTCCGGCATTTGATTTGATACCACGAATCACGATGGATGCCGCCTACTTTTCGAAGGCAATACCTAGCTATTTGTTGAAGTTATCATGGATTTCACCAATTTGGTTATTAGAAAAATTCTGAAGTGAGCCATGAAGCCGGGCTGCAAAGCGGGTAAGCTGTATTTATGACGAAATCTGCTCCAGTGGTTCGATTTTGGTGTAGGCGAAAAAATCGCGAATGCTCGTACATGTGCTGATTCAAACGGTCATAACTTTTGAAAAATCGAAAACGTACAAGGGTTTTTGCATATTTTTGCCTATAAAGGTCTAAACTTAACGGCTGTGTAGGATTGAATCGTCAACCAGGTCCCAAATCCCAAAACTTAGCGTCTAAATCAAGGTTATTTACGGCCATCGGCCGATGGCGATTTCTAGTGGTCAGAATATGCTAAAATTCGCCTTTTCAAATTTGTTGAGAGGGCAAATTCTAACTTTCTTGGCAAACTAGAAAGGTTTTTAAACAATCTGATATAAATTCTGTGGCTTAACTATGCGAATCAAATATCTTACAACGTTACAAAATATGCCTATTTTTCAATTTTCGAGACGTTGCGACGTTCCCTACGGACTGGGAAATAATTATGGCCCGTAATGCAGTCAGAAAATTATTTCGAATCAAACCAAATCTAATTTAGTTCTTTCCTAGGTAAAGTCTTTCTGTTAACAGAGTTTCAGGCAAAATTATTTTTGACGCAAAATTGACCGGGTGGAAATAAGAGAGACAGCCTCTTAAATACACTGCATAATTTGTATTTTCCTTTCGTTTTAAGTAAAGAATGTTTGTGTTCGTTAATAAACTGCATTTAGAATTTCATCTCTCTATTGTCACTATACAATCCAAACGTTTACATACCTGCAAATATTACTTTTCTCGTGGCAAAAGTCGACAGTGCAGTTGTTAAATACTGAATTGGCACAAAAGTTATTGATATTACTTGTTAGAGTATTCTCTGGCACTGGAGTATTGGCTAATACATCATCTGATAAGTCAAATGTGGTATCAAACGCGAAAATATCTTCGGAAAGAACATTCTTGCTATTATCCCCTGTGTGTTCCATAGGTTTTGGCAATTCATCCTTAACACTACTGCGCTCATTCTCAGTTTCTATAAAAGCAATGATTGCCCCTAAAATATTGCTAACGTTATCTAACTGCTTTTCGCTTGGTTTTTAATAAGAAAAAACTGCGTTCATTATACCCAGGTCGTTGTCTTGCTAACTTTTCTTCACCATTGTGCTGGAGCAGTCTAATACCTGAGGCAAGTTTGCTTTGGAGCATAATTTCTTTGGCGGCAATATCTCATTTAAACTGCGTAAACCTACGCGCTTCTTTCATACTGAAACTTGCCGTTTCTATGCGGCCGAAAATGAAAACTTTGAAGACTAGCAGCGAAATCTTGCACCTTACTGATATAATCTGAATGCAGTGCAGTCAAACATCGATCATACTGATGACCAACCTCATGGCACTTATGCTTTATAAAACGAGGCTTCTTCTTCAAATCTTTCAGGCCACCATGAAACGTCTTAAACAGACTTTCATCGAAAATAATGTTATTTTCTTTAACAAAAATATTGCAGAGCCTAGGTAACCTGTGTTCGCCAGCTCGAAGACCAAAAATTTTTCCGTTATAAAAATGAATAACTCATACATCAGTGACTCAGCTGAAAATCCTCCAAGAAGGCCTTTTCCCCACAATATCGCCTCTTCGTCCTAAGTTGTTTCTTCGCGGGTGTCCATTTTGCACTTTTGGGCTATTCCAAACTTCGTTGCATCCTTCATCTCTACGTCTAAAACTTTACGAAACGACGCGAACCTGTTACAATAAAATGATACAATTTAGAACCCTATTTAATTTTTCGCCGTCCATACTAGGCATTCAAAAGACGTTACACTTTATTTGCCTCTTGTCAACTTTGTTGAGAACGTTTAATGCATCCTTTCCTCCCGTCTCACTTAAATGACGGTTAATCGCACAAATAAACAAATGAAGCAAATTGGGCGGATAATGCTCTCCATTTTGCTTGGCCAGTTCACAAATTAAACGAACTTGCCCAACCAAAAGTTTAGCGTATTTGGTGGCATATGCTCTAGAGGAACGGTCAGATCTTGAACATCTTCGCATTTCAGATCAGCCACTCCAACAACTTCTACATTGCACATGTACTTTGCCGCTGCTAAATATCCTTTGCTATTCACCTTCGAACAAAGTGCGCGGGTTTTGCGCTCGAAAATGTTGTAATAATTGGAGGAATAAATGTGTTGAAATCATCTTTTTGTACTATATTATCTCAGTGTTTTAGAATATACTTAAACAACTATTCACCTCAGTGTCGGTGGCTAGTGGTTGATATTTGCCTCTTAGGTGACTCAGTACTTGTTAATTATCCTGCTACATTTAAACAGACGTCTATACTTTTTACAGTTTGTCCGAAGGAGGCAATTCCTCTCTCAGGCGGCGGAAAAATAAGCAGCACAAACTACCCAAAGAGTAACTACACTGCGTCCAGAAATTGTACCTGGAACATTACCGCGCCAGCTGACAAAATTGTAAACTTTACGTTTACTGACTTTGTCTTAAGTGAGTGTTCAGCCAATCCTTGTTCGGACTCTTGTTCTTATGTGGAGCTTTATGATGGTGGGTCAACAAGTTCGCCTTCGCTGGGACGATTTTGCCAGGGGTCGTCTTGGAATAAGCCTCATTTCTCGAATGGAAGCCAAATGTTTGTGATGTTCCATCCCGGACAAACAGTTGCTCGTGGTTTTGAAGCAGAATATTCAGTGCTGTCTCTCACAACAACAACATTACCTTCAACAACAACATTACCTTCAACAACAACATTACCTTCAACAACAACATTACCTTCAACAACAACATCACCTTCTACGGCTGCCAGTGGTAGGTACCCCAACATGTTTTATTTAGGATACGAAACAAAATCAAAATAAAATACATCTTGAAAAGAATGAAACAGAGGTTTGCCTTATGACGTTTGACCTTAAAAGAAAATGATAAATATCTATTCATCTTTTAATCTATACACAGTAAAATATTCATCAAAAAAGCCAAGAGACTAAGTCAAAAGGGGCTTAGGCCGGTCCATTTTTTAAAACTATCGTATACCGGAAGTCGAACTGTGCGTTAACATACCGGAAGTAAAGGGGCGTGAGCAAAGTGTGATAATGAGTAGTAGAAAAAAGAAAATGACAACATGAACCTTCCGTGTTCTTGAGACGTGAAACGGCTACGATTCGTCTACGATTTGACAACATCTCCATCCCCCCTTCGTATTTACTTGCGGAATATTTTCTAAGTGTCTTGCAAATCGACTTCCGGTATGACGGGTTGACATCAACTGTGACGAGTCGTTCGATTCGAGTCAAATCGAGTCGATACGACAACACTTTCATCGACTCTAGGTAATTACTTGCGGAATATTTCTAAGTGTCTTACAAATCGACTTCTAGTATACGAGTCGCTCGATTCGAGTCGAATTGAGTCGATTCGACAACATTTTCAACAACCCATGACAGTTGACTTCCGGTATGCGTTTCCATCTAATGAGAGATGGTTTATCAGATTTCCGGTATAACAAGACGCATTAACCGCGAATCGACCTCCGTAGAACGATTCGCAAACTGCCTTCGACGAATCGTAGCGGTTTGGGTGTATTGGACAACCCTCATGCGTTATTCGCATTACCTCGCATTTGTCGAGATTGAAGAGCCGACTTCATTTCTCAGTCCATGCTGCTAGCTGATCGGTGTCGGACTGTAGCTCCTGCGTTTCTTTTTTTATGTTTGAAAGTCCTCGATGTATCTTTGTGTCGTTGGCGAGCAACTTCATCTTGGACGAGATGTTTGAGTTTATGTTATAAAAATATATTTAAAAAAAGAAAAGGACCCAGGATTGTGCCATAGACAACATCAGATTACACAAGAAACCATGAAGAATAAGTGCAACGCACCACGACTTGTTTCAGGCGGTTAGTTACGAAATTTCTGAACTAAAACAAAAGGGGTCCATCAATCTCATACCACTTTAGCTTAAGCAGTAATCGTTCGTAGTGTAGAGAATCGAATGCTTCGAAAAAAAAAAGTCTGTTGGTTTCGATCTGTTTCTGAATGTCGCCCAGTCGTTAAATCAAGATAGTAATTGCGTTTAAGTGGACTTCGTTTCAAGAAATCCAAATTGCACACAATCAAGGTAAGCGAGATCTGCCGAAAGTTCCGAGGCTCTCTGCAGTCTTTTTTACCCTTCTTGTGGACGGGAACAATATCGGCTATTTTACACGCCACCGGCACCTGGCTAGTATCGAGGGGGCTGATGAGCGAAGAGAGGTCGCTAACTCGACGGCGCATCCTTCAGCACACGCGGTGAAAGAATCAGGCTCGTGGGACTTGTGCGAGTTTAGTTTCGTAAGAAGTTAGTTAATTTCGTTTACATTACATTGGATAGTTGACAGTTTGAGATCCACGACGTTGCATTATCCTCAGATGTAAAGACGGACGAATAATTAGAATTCATGTTTTCGGAGATTAGCTTTTTTATCCTTTACTCGCAGATGAGATGTAATTCCTAAACGTTTCCGGGTTTCCAGATATCTTTAGATCTGCAGAGATCGTATTGATGAATATGCAAAGCAAGTTGAGAGCTGTGTTATTTCGTAGTAACAAACCTTGCTTTTCGCCAAAAGTGCCTTAACCCTCAAAACGCACTAAATCTTGTGAACCCATCACAGGCTGACAATCAGATCTTCTTTTAATGGTGCGAGAACTCCATGGGGTGGGGGTTGAATTTTACCCTCAATTAAGCAATGAATTAGTTTCGGTCTCTGAGTGTTGACGGATTACATAATTAACGAAATTATTGAGTGATATTATTCCACCTTATTATATTTTTCAATCAATGATCATCATATGTTATCACTAATTTAAGCGGTTCTTAAAGACTTTCCAATTTTCATTTTAAATTGTAGCGCCAGAGGGATCCTTATCGACAGCGGCCGCCATAGGAATAGGATTGGGTTGTGTGGTCTTTCTTCTACTCGTCTTCATACCAGTATATTGTCTTTTCATTGGTGAGTTCGATCGCTTCCTGTCCTTACGGGAAAGTGGGTCTGGTGCAATAATTACCTCCCAGTTCGTCCTGTGCTTGGTAGGAGACCATAACTTTAAGATCTCTTATTATGAGATTAGAGGATATGGCGAGTCCAATTCCTGAATATATTTGAAGTGTGCTAAAAGTATTAGTGGAGAGAAATAGCGAGCTACATTAAGGATTCTACTAATTCTCAATTTGACTGGTAGACTTTCTTCTGGGGATCTCAGAGACTCTTGGGAGTTTCAGAGGTCGTAATCTGGTCGGATCTTAAGAAATGTTTTTCCTGGTGCCATGTGTGGTGCTCATAATTATTTTAGAATAAAAATTTCTATTTCTTTTGTCCTCATGGGAGCGTTTCAGGAGTCAATCATTACAGTTAGGAACCTGCTCTCGACATCAAAATAAATTAAAGAATGCAACATCCCGAGGCACTTAATACCATCTCAATTTGAAATATTGTTTGTTCTCAACAGTTATAAAGAACAGGAGAAGTACATCTCCGAATGATGAAGGCAATGAAATGGAAAAATGCACAAAGGAAAATAACAAAGTATCTGCACCTGAAGCCTGAGCATGATTTGAACTTGTCTACTTCCTGCCAGTCCGGATCTTAAACCAGTTTATATCTATTTGGATTTTTTTGTTTTATATTGTGTGTATTAAGGCACTTAAAAGTCTCATTCGGGGAGTGGTCTAATCATTTTTTTTCCTCAATGACCGCCCAAGTTTTGCAGAGATTTAGGAGAATTGGCCTGAGGAATAGAATAGAGAAGTTCGTGTCTATCTGCCCGTAGTTAGACTCTACCCAGACCCTTGACAAAGAGTGTGGAAACAAAGGAAACCCTATTCACATATAACTAAAACTAATTAGAGCAATTTTCAATTCAGTGTCGAAAGTAATTCGAGATTTTATCTATTATACTTCACTTTGGGCTGTGATTCTGAGTCCAGAAAAGTCGCGCCACAGTCTCCACCAATCAGCTGAAAAACTTAAACCAATCACAATTCGGTCGTCCGCGTTTTCCCGCGCTTTCCGTAGTTTTGTCGGTGTTACTATGAGTTCTTGTTGGCTGTTAAAGGTATTTTCCTTTAGTAAGGGCTCAGTCATCTAAGAGTATAGTATTTGTTGTTGTCGGTAGTGACCGAATGTTTGTTAAGTCATACTGAGACAGAGCTATTGTGATGTACTTGAAAGACTGTGCATTTCGAGGAATTTTGGACGCAACAGGCAGTTTGTGTCGGTGTGTGCTAAGCTGTGGTCTGTGGAGGGCATAATTAAGTTTTAGAGGGTGATCATTGTTAGTATTCCCTACACGAATCGCTCCTTAGTAAAAAAAAGTGTCGAAGACAATACAAAGACTTTATTAAACTTCGAATTTTTTGATAGCAAAATTGCTGATATCTCCAAAGAAAGGTGAAATAAATAGATGAATACATAAAAATTAAATAAGGTAAAAAGTAAATATAGATAAAAATATGCATGTATGTACAGTTAATTTCAGAATTTAACATTGGTCTCAAAAAGAACAGCATACATTATCCAGTTGAACAGTTTTTAGTGCAATTTTGAATGCAGCAAAATAAGTAGACACACGGACATTATCCGGCAATAAGTTCCATGGTTTGCTGGCATTATATCGAAATGAATGAAGACCATAATTTTTTGTATTTACACGTGGGATAACTAGACTGCGTTTGCCTCGTAAACTAATGCTGGTTTAGCGCTCGGTTAAAAGATCAGAAATATAACTAGGTGCAGCATTATTTAATGCTAGAAAAACTAATTTGAGCATATCATTTATTCGGCGTGCTCTCAGGCTAGACCGATTAATTTCTTGTAAAAAATTTTCATACGAATTGTATTGGGGGGGGAAGGGAGGTGGGGGGGAGGGGGGGGGAAGGGAGGTGGGGGGAAAGGGCGAGCGTGAGGGGAGAGCGTGAGCGTGAGCGTGGGCTCATATTCGAGGAATACGGAGTTGTATTTGACGTCCAGGTTCTCTCCAGACTTTGTTCGTTCTGTCTACTCTCAGCGTGTTTTCACAGGTCTGCAGTTAAACAGAAAACACAAGCTTATCTCGCTCAGTTGATTTAGACCTCGTTGATTACTCAATGTGAAGAAGAGCGAGCATCTTAAGACAGCGATCAGTTTGAATACCGTCATGATTTCCGCCTGGATCGTGGTTACTCTTTCTGGTGAGTGAGAATTCTTCTATACGAATGATTAATACTGTTGTCACTTCACAAATCATACGTGCAACAAAGGCATCTAGAAGTCAGATCTGTTTGGTTTTACAGGCCAGAAGTTTTTGTTATCCTTCTGTTCTTGACTTCGCTATGTCTTATGACTTCTAATGTGCATTTTTAGTTCGTAATTTAATCTCACTTAACCTCAGTGTCTCATTGTTCTTCCCACATTATTTTCCTCTTCCTTAGGGTTAGCTTAGTGTTCGCGGTCCCACTTTTTCATCGATCCGGTTGAAAACTTTCTTTCAAGAGGTTCTTAGTTTAACGTCTCAAAATTTTAATTTACAAAGATTTTTCTTTATATCAATTCGTACGTCACGAGAATTAACCCTAATGTAATTTAATTCAATTCAATTTTATTTAAACTCACTCGAATACAGGGTATTATAGAAGATTGTAATAATTAAAGTAGCGTTACAAGCATCAATATAAAGAATACAATATAATAAGAAAATGAAAAACGAAACCAAAATAACTTACAATTCATTGTTACTAAAGATATCTTGGATATAAAGAAGAACAGGAAGAAAAGAATAATTAAGAGACGATGTCAGCATCCATCGCACAAATTTGAAATGTTGTGGCAAGTCGCCCAAAATTCGTTTTCACTCCTACTTTCATATTTTGTAGCCCAATATGTTCTAATAATTGTGGTGTAGTTTTTTTTGCGAAAATATATTTTAGTTTTCGAGAAATAACTTTTTTCGTTCGACCGCTCAAATTTATGTTAGTTACAAAGTTATGTGACCTCATGTAACGAATGTACTAGACTTACGGTATTTATGTGAACGTAATCCTTTGTTTTATCATCTAAACTTAATCCTTTGTCATTATTGAAGCTGCCAAAGAAATATTTATTTTTTGGTGAATATTTTTGTCCGACATACTTTTCCTATGTCGAAAAGTAGCATCAAAACAAAGACAGTTTTAACAATGACCGATATGACAGAATCTGCTGAGCTTCAAGCTTTTAAAAGACCAAAGGATGGTTATAAAGTTATTGTAAAAATTTCCTTGTGTATTTGTGTTGTTCTATCTTGAGACGAACTCAAAGTCCGGCAAAATGTACTTGATAGCGACAATGAAATGTACATGGTGCGCCTACTTGTCGCCACCGTTAAATAAAACAAAGGATTATGTTTACAGAAATACCGTAGGTCTAGTACATTCGTTACATGAGGTCACACAACTCGTGTAATATTCACGGTGAAAATTTGCATATTTGAGCGGTCGAACGAAAAAAATTATTTCTCGAAAACTAAAATATATTTTTACAAAACAACTACACCACAATTATTAGAACATATTGGCTACAAAATATAAAAGTAGGAGGGGAAACAAATTTGGGGGACTTACCGCTGTTTGTTTGATGCATGCTGACATTAGCTCTTAAATACTATGTTAATTGTGTGGAGTTTGGGACACCCAAATAGTTCTAGGAACTAATCAAGTGGGTGTCCCAAAGTAAATAATTAAATAAAAAGGAATACAGTATTAATAACAATTTAAATAAAAAAGTATTACCTTTGATACAAACTACTAAGATTTAAAAATTTTAATTTGAACCTAATCGCTCTGACGAAGGGCTAACGCTCGAAACGTCAGCTTTTTTACTCTTTACGGTGGCTAATTTACGTTTTCAACCCAGTTGTTAACACTAAATTACCTACTAAGATTTAAAATTTATTTACACAAACTATTTAAGAATTAATGACACTATTATAACCGTCAATCATAGAATTCTTTATATTTTCATGAAATCTGAAAAAGGGAGTGATTTGTTTAACATTAATTGGTGATGAATTCCAGAGTGTGGTACCAGTATAACGAAGAGAACGAATACCACATTGAGTTGTTTGAACTGGATTTACCAACAGATTCTCTTTCAGTGATTGATGTGTATAATATGAATGAAGAGAAGATATTGGTTTAAAGTAATCAGTAAAACAAGGAGGAGTTATTTTGTGAGACCACTAATAAACAAAAGAAAGAATCTCAAGATGAATTATATCAGAAAATTTGAAGAGGTTCAGAGATTTTAGCAGTGGTTCTGAATGTGATACAGATTCAAAAAATGTTACAATTCTGACTATACACTTTTGCAAATTAATCACTGGCTTTAAATAAGTTGGATATGTTATTAACCCCAAACTAGGATAACATAAGTGAGAAAGAGCTGGATTAGTGAATAGTAAAGCATACAAAGTATATCAAAGCCAACATAGTACCTCAATTTTGAGAAGATTTCTACAGTTTATGACAGTTTTAGGCAAAGCTTATCAATATGATTCTTCCATGTCGGATTTTAGTTAAAGGTAACACCTAGATATTTAACTTTGGAAACTTGTTGGATATTCACACCATTAATCTTTAGACTAAGTGACTTGTGTGGTTTCAATCTTTAGAATGAAAGAGAATAAAATTAGTTTTAAGAATACTAAGTGCTAGTCAGCTAGATTTCATCCATGCACTCAACAACTGATCTAGCTCATGATTTAACTTTGTTTTGAGATCATTAAGGTTCCTATAAGAGCAATATATGTTTCGTCAGCAAATAGGTGAAAGGTAAGGAATTTTGAGGCATTAGGCAAGTCATTTATTTATAACAAAAACAATAAAGGACCAAGAACAGATCCTTGAGGAACCCCACTAGTAACAGATAGGAAATCAGAGTCATGACCATTGATACCCACAAATTGTTCTCTGTTGGATACTGATAAGATTGAAACTAATCATAGACTTACCTCTTACTCCACAAGATGCAATTTCAACAAAAGAATAGAATTAATTACTATATCAAAGGCTTTTTTGAATCAATGAAAATACCACAGCCAAACTCATTGTTGTCAATTGAGTAACAAATAGATTGAGTGATACTTATGAGTGCGTGATTAGTTGAACACTTCTGCCTTAAGCCAAACTGAAGTGAGTAGAAAATATTATGACATTCAAGATAACCATAGAGGTGCTTATACATAGCTTTTTCATATATTTTGCTAAAAACAGGTGGCACTGATATTGTTCTTTATTGCAACTGGCATAACTTTTGGCAATTTAAGTTAATTTGGAAAAATGCCACAGAGGAAAGAATCATCAATTCGATATCTTTGACAACACTGTTCCTGAATTTCTTGTGAAGATATATCAGATTTGGATCTGGTTGCTTACTTTTCATAATCTGGGAATAGAGCTTATGTCTGTATCTTATCTTAGCAAGTATGTCTTTTGTGATCCATGCTTTAGTAGACCGGATAATTTTATTTCATGCTTTGAGAGCTTCCTGCATGGTGCATGACAGTTAATAAACTGGGAGATTTGATCATTCATAAAAAACATCAAATTTAGTGCTAGCATCTAAATTATTATTTAAAATGTTAGCCCAATCAAGAAGTGAGAAATCATTGATAAATTTTTCTTCTTCAAACTTAGAATAATCAATTTTATAATAGTTTAGAGTTTTACAATTTACCTTAACATTATCTAAAATCAAAAATTGGGGAAGATGATCGAAGATTCTTAGGTCTAAGTTTCACTATAGTAGCATTTGCAGCATAAGTATTTGCAAATATGTTATCGATTAGGGTTGAAGATCTTTCAGTAATATGTGTTGGTTGTAAAATATAGGAAAGAAGAAAATAAGAGTTCAGCATTGGCAGGAAATCATTGGATTCCGGATGGCTTTTTCAGTTTAATAGGTTAATTATAATTAAAGCATCCCGTAAGGAAGATATTCTTATTTTCTCGTGATAATTGAGATAAAATTGACTCAAAATATTCCTTAAACCTTACAGGGTTGGAAGACGGGTGCCAATAGGCACAACAACAAAGGATGTTTTTAGCTTTAGTGTTAATAATTTCAACCCAGATGGTTTCAATGCCCATTGCGGAAATATTTGATCCTTTGAAATATGTTTAGGCAGGACTAAAAGATAATTAGAGTATTAGATTTCAAGGTATTAATGGAAAGTGTATTTTACTCTGATGCATATGTTGTGGTTCAATTTTATCCTTGGTTCAAATTTTATTTTCTTTTGTTTTTGGGTATTGCAATGTATGATAATGAGTTATAATAATGAAACAAAGGAAAATAAAATTTGAACCAAGGATAAAATTGAACCACGACATAAACATTGATTTTTATGCCCAAATACGGTGAAACGTAGATAAAGAAAGCGTCAACTTCAAGAGACATTTATTTCTGAATATTGCGTGACGAACCTTTGGACACCAGTTGATTATTAACTTCTAAAGCGATGGCCCTATAACACAAATCTAAACCATATGCGTAATAATGAGGTTTGAAGTGACAGCAGAACATTGAAAAAACCTTGAACAATGATGGCCAAATTGTTGTATAAAATTCTATCTGTGCCCAAGCAAGTAATTGAATTTAATCGCCTTAAAGTTCTGACAAATATATTGGATTCAACCAGCCAAACCAGAAGCGAAATAGCTCACATGGTAACTGCGTTAAAAAAAAATTAAAGGTCAAATCCAATGAAATATGTTAAAACCTCAAAACATGGTAAATTGTGAAAAAAGATGGCCAAATGAAGATACACGAAAATCAACCTGAAGACAAGAATTAAAATCGCTTACGCGTCGTGACAAAATGTTTCCATCGTTGGGACTGTTGTCCTCGCCGATTTTAACCCGTTTAAGACTTTGAAGCCCGTTTCCTTGCAGTTGAGCTTTCTTCTTTGCGTTTCCTCTTCGTTTGTGAGGTCTATAAAGGTGTATTCTGGTTAGGGTTAGGGTTCACCATAAAAATCAATTCAACGTGATCCCTTTGCTCGCGTCTGCTAAATTAAAACAATTGAAAATAAAACTTTTTTTGCAGGAAAATTCAAGTAAATGTAATGAGCGTCTTATAAACTTTAAAACATCTACACATTGTCTTTTAAAAGAGAGGATTTTACCGATTGAACAAGCGAATTATTTTCAGCTGAACGGAAGTAGTTATTTTTTTCAAAGCTTGCCGTACAGCAGACAGTAACTATTGTTTCAAACAGGCTTCTCGCCGGACCGTGAAAAAAAAAGCGTTCAAGTGGCCCAGAAAAAACGATTTTTTTTTTCTTTTTTAATGCTCAAAGTTAAAAAATCAGCCGAGAACTTCTTGTGGCTTTAAATAGAAATATCGTAACCCAGGGAGCTTTCTCCGCTTTCCCCTTTTCCTCGTTTGCATTTCGGATGGACTGTTTCTAATCCTTGAGTTGAGAAACGTTTTCACATGTTCATTCTTTGTATCTGTTGCAGCTACCTCCCTGGTTCTTGTGACAAGTGGTCGTGAGTACTGATAACCTTTTTATATTTCTGCATTTTAAACGGCGGTTTTGCGGTTTTGTATTTCAGTCCACTACATTTCTCTTTACTACCAATAATATGGTGACAATAGTATTGGTATAAAACACATTTTCAATTCTCTTTCTGCTGTAGTAAGAAATCAAAACAGTGACTTAAAGATGTTCTCCTTTTCAGCCTGCATCCCTCCTGGAGAATCCATTAATGCTCCTAATGGTCACATTTCCAGCCCCAATTTTCCCAACAACTATGACGCAAACAGGATTTGTACCTGGAATATCACGGTACCCCATGGGAAAATCATCAAACTGACCTTCTTGAACTTTACCCTGGTAGCAGGTGAAAATGATGACTGTGCTGGAGCGGCAGCAGATAGTGCCCGAGTCTTTATCACAGACGTTGCTTCTCATGGAGGAAAACCTAATGACTTTAAGATCTGTGGTCAAAGGCTTCCCCCTCCTGTGTACTCCGAGGGAAATGTCATTCAAGTGAGATTTGAATCGCGCAGCGGTCTTGTACACAAAGGGTTCAATGCAACCTTTGAGACGATATATAGAGATTCACGTAAGAGCTTTTCTTCTATCGTAGTTTATTAACTGAAAGTATAGAAGTGTATAAAGCATATACCCCTATAGAACTAAGCGAGAATTTTGTTCAGAATATCATTCAAATAATGAAATAAACAATCTTTAAACAGCTATAGTTTTTAGAAAAATAATTGAATGTAGTCAAGCCTTTCACTCCAACACAAGCAGGGCTTTCATTAGAAGCCGGCTACCGCCGGAGCTTCGGCAGCTGCGAGTCATCGGGTCACCGGCTACTTGGCCATGTTTGTCAGCAAATACTTCAAAAATATAACTCTTAAAATGTTTACAGCCTACCCATTTTTCAGTTGAAATAAATCTGATAAAATATAGCGCACTCTTGCCTTGAGAATTTTGGAATTAAGCATATATCAACACGATTTCTGTACCGCGACGGATCGCAACTGATTGAGGAACGCTCAGCCATTTTCGGTGTAAATTTAAGGGTGGGGTTGCAGCTTGGGCCTTGGTAAGTCACGTGGCAAGCACTCCTGCCAAACTCAATTGCCTTACATGTTCGCAAAAGCTCTTGAAAAACACACAGAAATCTGCCAATTAAAGGGTTAACGGTATGCATCATTAACTTTACTTTCTCATGCCAGGAATGCTGGAAATCACATTTCCGAGCTTCTAAATTTCAAAATTTTCTGGGGGAGCATGCCCCCAAACCCCCGTAGAAAAGGTGGCCTTCGGCCACCTAAATAGTCACAGCCACCTACTATTATATTGGCAGACGCCTACTTCATATCTTATTGAAAGCCCTGCACAAGCTGTCTATATTTCATGTTCGTTACGTTTTCGAAGCCTGAGACAGTCTTTGTTAATCTTTTCAGTGTGCCCAGCAGATATGATCCTCAATGAAACATCAGGTTCTTTGTCCTCTCCATTTAATCCAAGAAACTATCCCGTCAACCAGACATGTAGCTGGAAGATTATAGGGAAACAAGGATACCGTGTTGAGCTCACAATACCAGACTATAATATTGAACGTTGTGGTGGTGCTGCTTGCTCGTGTGATTATGTGGAAGTTCAGAATAGCTTCAGTGATCAAGCGCTGCCTGGAAAACTATGTGGTACACCAAGGTATATTCCTGTAAAGTTTTATTCACTGCACGAAAGCTTGAGGGTGGTGTTTGTGTCCGATGATACAAACATGGATTATGACGGATTTGGGGCAACTTACAAGCTGTTGAACTACAGTCCTCCAAGTAAGTAGAGAAAACAACTTCCTCAGATCTAAGAGGTCGCTAAAAGAAGATTTTTCATGCTATAAACTCATCCATACAAGTGATGATAAGGAGCTTAGTTAATAAGAGTGGAGGTTCTTTCTGTTATCAACTCAGGGTGAATGCAAACATCTCTGAGAGATAGTGTCGGCGGTGATGTACTGGGAAGCTATGCCAACCTTAATTGATCTTCTAATAAACTTTATATTAGCGACTTTCAAATATTCGTATTCTTGCCTTTGGGCTACTCCTTTATAAAAGGCATATTGCAATGATCACCCTATAAAGTATGGTTTTGAGCCGCTTTGGTTTGTATAGACTTTGACCATTGGTCGAATCGACAGTTATATGATAAGTATTTTGATTGGTTGTTATTTATCACCTATTGGAGAACAGAGGCATATATGACATCACCATTTACAACAACTTGCTTCTTTATTGTATATGAAACAATAAGATTACACGTTGCCGTGCGTCTGTTGAGGAAGAGATAGCAGATGACTTCAAAATGTGGTCATCAGTGACACTTGGCTGCGCCTCTTATGCCACGTTTTTGTTCTTACCACATTTTGACGCCATCTGTGAAAGAAACCATATATCTAGCACCAATCCCGGCATTTTTTTTATTCTGATCTGTTCCAAGCGTTTTGGTAAGTCAAACAGAGCGAAATAGCCGAGGGCACGATAGTAGTGGCATAGTGAAAAAGAGAGTGAGGTTTGGGTCTGGTCGGGAAATGAAGAAGTTGATTTCACAACATGACCCACCCCTCCCTTTTTTTTCAGACCTCTGCTACTCTAGCGCTGTTCAATATGGCACTGCGTTTTACCAAGTGAACGCCCGGAACAGCCTATGCTTATTCTCCCACACTCACATGCTCCTTTTTCATTGTTTACAGTTTGTCCCAAGGAGGCAATTCCTCTCTCAGGCAGCGGCGAAATAAGCAGCACAAACTACCCAAAGGGTAACTACACTGCTTCCAGAAATTGTACTTGGAACATTACCGCGCCAAGCGACAAAATTGTAATGTTTACGTTTACTGACTTTGTCTTCAGTAAGTGTTCAGCCAATCCCTGTTCGGATTCTTGTGCTTATGTGGAGCTTTATGATGGTGGATCTACAAGGTCTCGTTTGCTGGGGCGATTTTGCCAGGGGTCGTCGTGGAATGAACCTCAGTTCTCGACTGGAAATCGAATGTTTGTGATGTTCCATCCTGGACAAACAGTTGATCGTGGATTTCAAGCGAAATACAAATCCACAACGACCGGTGGTGAGTATCCTGTGAAGGTTTTTCTGAATATCATCTTTTAGAATCATCAAATATTTTTCTTGCGTGCGATTGGTCTTAACGCTTTACGCAACCGTCTATGCCCTAACTTTCAACTTATTTTTTACTTCTATATTTTTAAAAGACAGACAGACTTTCACCGCTTACCACGATCCCTCTGAGTTACTATCGCGTTTTTTGAAAGAAAACATATGTAACATTTCTGGTTCACGAAGGTCTCCAAAAACGGCCAAAAAAAATTAACCGTTAGGCGTAAAAATTGACTAATTTTAATCGGTAGCCGTAGTAGCCATCACCCCATTGAGACCCTCTTTCATTGCAACTGTTTTTTCTTCAGTGACAAAAAAAAAGTGAATAAAAATCCTCTCTCTTTCAGACTGTACCCCTTCTGGAGAATATGTTAATGCTTCTAGTGGTCACATTTCCAGCCTCAATTTCCCCGACGTGTATGAAGCAAACAGGATTTGTACCTGGAATATCACGGTACCCCATGGGAAAATCATCAAACTGACCTTCTTGAACTTTACCCTGGTAGCAGGTGAAAACGATGACTGTGCTGGTGCCGCAGCAGATAGTGCCCGAGTCTTTATCACAGACGTTGCTTCTCATGGAGGAAAACCTAATGACTTTAAGATCTGTGGTCAAAAGCTTCCCCCTCCTGTGTACTCCGAGGGAAATGTCATTCAATTGAGATTTGAATCGCGCAGCGGTCTTGTACACAAAGGGTTCAATGCAACCTTTGAGGCGATATATAGAGATTCACGTAAGAGCTTTTCTTCTATGTTAGTTTATGAAGGACGTATAGAAGTGTGCTGAGCATATACCCCTATTGAACTAAGCGAGAATTTTGTTGTGTACATTAGGCAAATAATGAAGTAAACAATCTTTGAACAGCTTTAGTCTATAGAAAAATAATTGAATATAGTCGAGCCTTTAACTCCAACACAAGCTGTATATATTTCATGTTCGTTACGTTTCCGAACCTGACACAGTCTTTGTTACTCTTTTCAGTGTGCCCTACAGATATGATCCTCGATGAAACATCAGGTTCTTTGTCCTCTCCCTTTCATCCAAGAAACTATCCATTCAACCAGACATGTAGCTGGAAGATTATAGGGAAACAAGGATACCGTGTTGAGCTCACAATACCAGACTATAATATTGAACGTTGTGGTGGCGCTGCTTGCTCGTGTGATTATGTGGAAGTTCAGAATAGCTTCAGTGATCAAGCGCGTCCTGGAAAACTATGTGGTACACCAAGGTTTATTCCTGTAAAGTTTTATTCACTGCACGAAAGCTTGAGGGTGGTGTTTGTGTCCGATGATACAAACATGGATTATGACGGATTTGGGGCAACTTACAAGCTGTTGAACTACAGTCCTCCAAGTAAGTAGAGAAAACAACTTCCTAAGATCTAAGAGGTCGCTGAAAGAAGATGTTTCATGCTATAAACTCATCCATACAAGTGATGATAAGGAGCTTAGTTAATAAGATTGGAGGTTCTTTCTGTGATCAACTCAGGGTGAATGCAAACATCTCTGATGGATAGTGTCAGCGGTGATGTACTGGGAAGCTATGCCAACCTTAATTGATCTTCTAATAAACTTTATATTAGCGACTTTCAAATATTCGTATTCTTGCCTTTGGGTTACTCCTTTATAAAAGGCATATTGTAATAATCACTCTATAGGGTATGGTTTTGAGCCGCTTTGGTTTGTATAGACTTTGACCATTGGTTGAATCAACAGTTAAATGATAAGTATTTTGATTGGTTGTTATTTATCACCTATTGGAGAACAGAGGCATAGATGACTTCACTGTTTACACCAGCTTGCTTCTTTATCGTATATGAAACAATTAGATTACACGTTGCCGTGCGTCTGTTCAGCAAGAGATAGCAGATGACTTCAAAATGTGGTCACCGGGGACACTTGGCTGCGCCTCTTATGCCACGTTTTTGTTCTTACCACATTTTGACGCCATCTGTGAAAGAAACCATTTATCCAGCACCAATCCCGGCATTTTGATTCTGACCTGTTCCAAGCGTTCTGGTTAATCAAACAGAGCGAAATAGCCGAAGGCACGGTAGTAGCGGCATAGTGAAAAAGCGAGTGAGGTTTGGGTCTAGTCGGGTAAAGAAAAAGTTGATTACACAATATGGCCCACCCCTCCCTTGTTTTTTCTTTCCTCTGCTACTCTCGCGCTGTTCAATATGGCGTTGCATTTTACCAAGTGAACGCCCGGAACAGCCTATGTTTATTCTCCCACACTCACATGCTCCTTTTTCACTGTTTACAGTTTGTCCCAAGGAGGCAATTCCTCTCTCAGGCAGCGGCAAAATAAGTAGCACAAACTACCCAAAGAGTAACTACACTGCTTCCAGAAATTGTACCTGGAACATTACCGCGCCAGCTGACAAAATTGTAATGTTTACGTTTATTGACTTTGTCTTCAGTAAGTGTTCAGCCAATCCCTGTTCGGATTCTTGTTCTTATGTGGAGCTTTATGATGGTGGATCAACAAGGTCTCGTTTGCTGGGGCGATTTTGTCAGGGGTCCTCGTGGAATGAGCCTCAGTTCTCGACTGGAAATCGAATGTTTGTGATGTTCCATCCTGGACAAACAGTTGATCGTGGATTTCAAGCGAAATACAAATCCACAACGACCGGTGGTGAGTATCCTGTGAAGGTTTTTCTGAATATCATCTTTTAGAATCGTCAAATATTTTTCTTAAGATTTGTCTTAACGCGTAACGCAACCGTCTATGCCCTTACTTTCAACTTATTTTATACTTCAATATTTTTAAAAGACAGACAGACTTTCACCGCTCACCACGATCAATCTGAGTTACTATCGCCTTTCTTTGAAAGAAAACATATGTAACATTTCTGGTTCACGAAGGTCTCCAAAAACGGCCAAAAAAAATAAACCATTAGGCGTAAAAATTGACTAATTTTAATCTTTAATCGTAAAAGCCATCACCCCATTGAGACCCTCTTTCATTGCAACTGGTTTTTCTTCAGTGACAAAAAATAAGTGATTAAAAATCCTCTCTCTTTTAGCCTGTACCCCTTCTGGAGAATATGTTAATGCTTCTAGTGGTCACATTTCCAGCCTCAATTTCCCCGACGTGTATGAAGCAAACAGGATTTGTACCTGGAATATCACTGTACCCAGCGGGAAAATCATCAAACTGTCTTTCTTGAACTTTACCCTGGTAGCAGGTGAAAACGATGACTGTGCTGGAGCGGCAGCAGGTAGTGCACGAGTCTTTATCACAAACGTTGCCTCTCATGAAGGAAATCCTGACGACTTTAAGATCTGTGGTCAAAAGCTTCCCCTTCCTGTGTACTCCGTGGGAAATTTCATTCAAGTGAGATTTGAATCTGGTACCGGCCCTGTAAACAAAGGGTTCAATGCAACCTTTGAGGCGATAGATGGAGATTCACGTAAGAGCTTTTCTTCTATGGTAGTTTATTAACTGGAAGTACAGAAATATACAGAGCATGCACCTCTATCGAGCTGAACGAGAGTTTTGTTGAATATATCATGCAGATACATGTAATTAAGTAAAAAATCAGCTAAAGTCTGTAGAAAAAAAATTGAATGAAATCAAGTCTTTTACTTGAACGCAAGCTGCTATGTTTCACAATCGTTATATTTATTAAAGCATAAAACCGTTAACATACGGAAAATGAGCTGTAGGCAGTATTGGAAATCATTCCGCTGACCAAAGAATCACCACGCGGAAAAATCAAAACTAAAATAGTTTTCAGAGAGTAAGAAGCTTCATCAAGATTTTGGTGAATAAATTAATTTTTTACAGCAGGAGGATGCATTTCCCTAAAGCTAACAGTCCTTGTTACTCTTTTCAGTGTGCCCTACAGATACAATCCTCGATGAAACATCAGGTTCTTTGTCCTCCCCCTTTAATCTAAGAAACTATCCATTCAACCAGACATGTAGCTGGAATATTAAAGGGAAGCAAGGATATCGTGTTGAGCTCACAATACCAGACTATAATATTGAACGCTGTGGTGGCGCTGCTTGCTTGTGTGATTATATGGAAGTTCAGAACAGCTTCAGTGATGAAGTGCCGCCTGGAAAACTATGTGGTACACCAAGGTTTATTCCTGTAAAGTTTTATTCACTGCACGAAAGCTTGAGGGTGGTGTTTGTGTCCGATGATGCAAACATGGATTATGACGGATTTGGGGCAACTTACAAGCTGTTGAACTATAGTCCTCCAAGTAAGTAGAGAAAACAACTTCCTAAGATCTAAGAGGTCGCTGAAAGAAGATGTTTTATGCAATAAACTCATCCATACAAGTGATGATAAGGAGCTTAGTTAATAAGATTGGAGGTTCTTTCTGTGATCAACTCAGGGTGAATGCAAACATCTCTGATAGATAGTGTCGGCGGTGATGTACTGGGAAGCTATGCCAACCTTAATTGATCTTCTAATAAACTTTATATTAGCGACTTTCAAATATTCGTATTCTTGCCTTTGGGTACTCCTTTATAAAAGGCATATTGCAGTGATCACCCTATAGGGTATGGTTTTGAGCCGCTTTGGTTTGTATAGACTTTGACCATTGGTCGAATCGACAGTTATATGATAAGTATTTTGATTGGTTGTTATTTATCACCTATTGGAGAACAGAGGCATATATGACATCACCATTTACAACAACTTGCTTCTTTATCGTATATGGAACAATAAGATTACCCGTTGCCGTGCGTCTGTTGAGGAAGAGATAGCAGATGACTTCAAAATGTGGTCATCAGTGACACTTGGCTGCGCCTCTTGTGCCACGTTTTTGTTCTTACCACATTTTGACGCCATCTTTGAAAGAAACCATATATCTAGCACCAATCCCGGCATTTTGATTCTGACCTGTTCCAAGCGTTCTGGTTAAGCAAACAGAGCGAAAACCCCTCCCTTGTTTTTTCTTTCCTCTGCTACTCTCGCGCTGTTCAATATGGCACTGCGTTTTACCAAGTGAACGCCCGGAAAAGCCTATGTTTATTCTCCCACACTCACATGCTCCATTTTCATTGTTTACAGTTTGTCCCAAGGAGGCAATTCCTCTCTCAGGCAGCGGCAAAATAAGCAGCACAAACTTCCCAAAGAGTAACTACACTGCTTCCAGAAATTGTACCTGGAACATTACTGCACCAGCTGACAAAATTGTAAATTTTACTTTTACTGACTTTGTGTTAAGTGAGTGTTCAGCCAGTCCTTGTTCGGATTCTTGTGCTTATGTGGAGCTTTATGATGGTGGATCAACGAGGTCTCGTTTGCTGGGGCGATTTTGTCGAGGATCGCTGTGGAATAAGCCTCAGTTCTCGACTGGAAATCAAATGTTTGTGATGTTCCATCCTGGACAAATGGTTGCTCGTGGATTTGAAGCAGAATATTCTTTTTCCTCTACTACATCAACATCACCGCCTTCAACAGAAACAAAACCGCAAAGTAAGTTTAGAACTGTGGTATTTCGAATTAACAAATCCTGATTTTCGCCAAAAGTGCCTTCACCCCTTCTTTATGAGTCCATCACATGCTAACAATCAGTTGACGCTTTCCAAATTGTTTTGTGTTTTCCAAAATAGTACATTTGTGGATAACTCAATGGTTTTCTCTGCATGTTTTGGGGCAAAATTTAATTGAATTTAATATTTATATTTTCCTTTGCAAGATTTAGCATGTCCGTAAACTATGTGTTTATAGTCAATAATGAAAAGATGCAGAGGTAATCCTTTTACAAACAGTCAGTCACTGGATGTTGCAAACGTTCTGCAATCTCTCATACAGTGGGTGTTGCAGAAATTTTGCAACCATTCATACACTGGGTGTTGCAGAAATTCTGTGACCACTCATACATTGGGTGTTGCAGAAATTCTGCAACCACCCATACGCTGAGTGTTGCAAAAATTTTGCAGCCTTTCATATACTGGGTGTTGCAGACATTTTGCAACCTTTCATACACTGGGTGTTGCAGACATTTTGCAACCTTTCATACACTGGGTCTTGCAGAAATTTTGTAACCTTTCATACACTGGGTGTTGCAGACATTTTGCAACCTTTCATACACTGGGTATTGCAGAAATTTTGTAACCTTTCATACACTGGGTGTTGCAGAAATTTTGCAACCTTTCATACACTGGGTGTTGCAGAAATTCTGTGACCACTCATGCATTGGGTGTTGCAGAAATTCTGTAACGACCCATACACTGAGTGTTGCAGAAATTTTGCAACCTTTCATACTCTGGGTGTTACAGAAATTTTGCAACCTTTCATACACTGGGTGTTGCAGAAATTCTGCAACCACTCACCCTGGGTGTTGCAGAAAGTCTGCAACCACTCATACAATGGGTGTTACAGATATTCTGTGACCACTCATACACTGGGTGTTGCAGAAATTCTGCAACTACTCATACACTGGATGTTGCAGAAATTCTGCAACCACTCATACAATGGGTGTTACAGATATTCTGTGACCACTCATACACTGGATGTTGCAGAAATTCTGCAACTACTCATACACTGGGTGTTGCAGAAATTCTGCAACCACTCATACCCTGGGTGTTGCAGAAATTTTGCAACCTTTTATACACTGGGTGTTGCAGAAATTCTGCGACCACTCACACTGGGTGTTGCAGAAATTCTACAACCACTCATACACTGGGTGTTGCAGAAATTCTGCAAACACTTATACACTGGGTTTTGCAGAAATTCTGCGACCACTCATACCCTGGGTAATGCAGAAATTCTGCAACCACTCATAGATCGGATGTTGCGGAAACTCTGCGACCATTCATACACTGGATGTCGCAGAAAAAAGCATAAAAAACACAATAATGGTGATAATCAATGATGTATTTTCACCAAACTGTATATGTACTTATCAAGCAAAGAAATCATACCTCTATGGACTTCAGTTTTAGTTCAGTATTCATGAATTAATAAGGATTGCTAGTAGACTTAAAAAACAGAACAAAAAAAAGTTTCTTACCCTCAATGGTAGTTGGAATTTTGAAAGCCATCCAGGAGGAACCTATAGGTAAATATTTGTTTTCAAAAAAATTAAACTGTCTGATAACATCCTATCAATTCACTAATATTTTAATTTACCAGATTTAAACATTGGGTTTACTTTGTTTTGCGCATGGTGCAAGTAAATACATATCTAATATATTTCAATAAAAATAAAGCAAATCTCACCATTTTTGTAGGTGCCCCCGAGATTTCTCATCTTTAAATGATCTATGCTCTGATATGGCTGATAACTGAACATGATTTACAACAACTTAGAAGGCGGTGTGATCCTGGACCTGAAGTCTGGTGCCCGTTTAGGTCCAGGTCCTCCACTGTCTCCACCCTGCCACTCAATGTTTTTATTTTCTCCGATGCTTCGAGTTTAGCTTCTCAGCTGCACTCACAAAATAACCATCTTGTCAACTTCCTGTCAGTCGGGATTTTAAACCGGTTTATATCTATTTGGATTATTTGTTTCATTCTGTGTATATTAAGGCACTCAAAAGCCTTATTCAGGGAGGGGTTTAAATATTTTTTTTTCATCAAAGACCGCCGAAAACTGACTTAAACCAAACTCATCTACCAGTCACTTCATGGGATTGCAAGCTTGCAATGTTTTCAAGTCTTTCACCAACCAAGTTTGGCAGAGATTTAGGAGACTTGGCCCGAGGGATAGTATGGAGAAGATCGTATCCATCTGCCCGTAGTTAGACTCTCCCCAGACCCTTAACAAAAAGTGTGGAAACATAGGAAAGCCCATTCACAAGTAACTTATTAGAGCAATTTTCAATTTAATGTCGAAAGTAGTCAAGATTTCATTGATTATGCTTTACTTAGCTCTGTGATTCTGAGTCCAGGAAAGTCGCGCCACTCTCTCCACCAATCAGCTGCAAAACCAAAACAAATCACAATTTGGTCGTCCGCGTTTTCCCGCCAAATCCGAAAACCCTTTATTACTTTGACGAAAACCGGAAACCAAATGCTGAAAAACAGAAAATCCGTATAAGGTAATGAACGACTGTAAAAAACCCAAGTTGTTGTGGTTGTCGAATAAACCGAATACGGAACGAATAGTAAAAATAAATGAATTAATACATCGGACTAAAAACAGAACTAGCCGTTCAAAACAAGACACAGAGAATCAAACCGCATCATGATAAGGCAACCGGCGCACGACGCTTTCTAGCTAACGAATTCATACTTGCACGTAGATCGTAATACTTGGATCATGTGGTATCAACATATTTGAAAAAAGTTCAAGATGTGATTGCTACGAAGACGTCAATAAGTTTCTCCAGTCAAAA